CGATTGCTTCTCCCCGCGTTATAAATGCTAGTTAAATAGTATTGGACCACTCAAATAAAAATTACTAGGCTATAATTCACGTAGAAACGATGACCATGATTGCCTGAAATTATACTTTTGTCCGCATGAATTATCATATTTTTGAGTTGCATTTATTACTAATGTCGGTCTTTCTTTTAGTGAAACTGAACATTGCCGGTCACTATTATTTCTAATTAGGTAACCACCAAGTTTGCACCATTTAAAAGCTGAATATAGTAATTAATATATATATCCACTTAATGTACTCAAGTCGAAATCGTAATTTTTAGTTCCTTGTTGTTGGTTGAACATTTGGAACCCTGGTGTTATGAAGTTGTTTCACAAAAACAGTGGTATACAACAATACGACAATATTTAAATGAAGACAACATGAACATATGTTAAAAGTAGGGGTGAATAAAATATAATATTTCAAACCAATCACAAACTTACGCCAAACTATACCACACAAATCCACGGATCACACTTGATCGCAAATTCTTTCTCGCGAAGGTATGCCAATTGAATTTCGAATTACACGTGTATATTTTTATTTTCATTGCCTCCGTGTCGGGTGTGGTTTGTGGTGGTATATAATATGTATATTTTGTTTCGCGTTTATGTTCCGTGTCAGATTGAGGTACCGTTCCACTTTCACGTTTCTCAGGTGATACCATATTCACTCATACGTAATCGTTATAGATTCCTTACAAGTACAATATTTGGATGCGCAATCAAGTTTAGAAACTGAAATTATTGTTTAGTCATTAGCGTCAAAACATACGCGGTTTTGTGGACCCATGGCAGCAAATTAAAATTTCTGCGTTCGTTTTAAGAGACTGATGATTAGTTTCGTTTTAACTATTCAATATTTGGTAAAATTTATGGATTGAGAATTGCAATACTTGCTGAAGAACGCGAAGCTATGGAAGTTCATAGAAACACGTCCTAAAAGAGTGTGTACATGCATAAAATAGTCCTAATTGTTGAAATTAATTGTATTAAACTGTATTGTTTGGTATGATTTGGATTTCGGTACAAAAACAAATTTCAACCTAATTCAACAATTAGCACGATTGCAAATCAGTGCTTAATGTGAATTGAAGTTTTGCTAATAGTAATTGGCAATATGTGAATTAAGGTCCTCGGTATGCAATCCCAGGAAGACATTTCTAGTTACACTATAACCATAACGTACATTTTCTTAATTAATAATAACCCAGGAACGTTTGGTGCATAGTAATTATCGCATTGAGGAAAATGACACTTAGGCAGCGTCGGTAATCCGTCGCCTGATTTAAACCGCGCTTTTGTTGACTTTTACTAGAATTAGACGATTGTATCTGCAGCTGGAAAGTCGACTTTCTTCAGGAAGAGTTTTGTGTAAAAATACTTACGTTTTAGTGTTAATATGCGGGTTAGATTACGCGAATTTGCCGCTCAGTATTCGTTGCCAGCATGCAACGTAATAGTTTTTGGACTGTTTAAAGCGTCAATATAAATTCATGAATTCTTAGGTTTTTGTGGTAGTGAGTATAGTCTCTTATACTAACAAAGCTAGGAATTTTACATTATGATCATAATCAATTAAGGTTTGACATTGAAATATGAGCGTTTCCAGATAATATTTTATCTAAAGTCAACTTTGAAATGATGGGATTAGTAAAGAAAGACAGTAGTTACGTCATTACAAAAGACGCGTGTCGTTTATCCCCTAACAAAAAGATAGACAACATTCTTGCATAATGATAGTGTCGCAAGCTTACCGGCATATCTAGAAAGAATATATTGGCAAGAAGTGGATTTAGAATATTTGCTCCTTCACTTTCTATGTCAGTATTTTCCAAAAACGATAGAAATATAGAGACAGTATTAGGTGGAATTTTGTTTGTGGAATTGCATAGATTACACGAGTTATAAAAAATAACTTTTTTACTAGATTTTTAACTTGAGGGCGGGGACGAGATGTATTGGTACTAACATACATGTATAGGTGACACATCCTTGTCTATATCAAAGACGTTTTCCTGTCACTAATTTACGGTTCATTAGGCAGGGACACCTTCTTATATTATGTGTAAACATACCAACAGATTGGATTCGCTCACGTATGAAGTATAGATAAATCGAGGTCTAAATCTTGATTTATTGTTGGGGTATGCATTTCCAAGTATATTTATCAATAACATGTTCGTAATGATTTTTAAATTGGCAATGTGGTGGCACTCACATCCTTGAGTTACGCCAGAAGATGATACAAAATATCGTACAAAGTTCCATGAGTAAAAAATTAGTTTTATGGCTCCTGAATGAATAATACAGATAACTTTATTATCTGCTATGTCTGAAAGGAAATTGATGGACGTACATGATTTTGAAGTATTGCTTTCAAATTTGTCTCATACTCTTGTGTTTTCAAACTCTTTTGATGAAAATAATTTATTTGTTGTGGTGAAATATAAGCCGTATAAATAGTGTAAATGTAATATGTAGAGTCAAGATTAGCTGTAATTTTATAATATTAGGATCTTTATCTGTTTTGAGCAATTCTATTTTAATGTATTTTTATTGAGTCAAAGGTAAAGAGTTCAAATATACACATCAATATGAGATAGCTGCCCTGCTTCATATTTAAAATATAAACTGTAAACTTTTTTTACAGTAAAGAAAGCTATATACCTAATAGCTTTAAAAACTGTTTTATGGTTTAGTCAAAATTAAAGTAGAACTGTTAAAAAAAATCATTTTTTTGATAATTTATTCAGTTTTATAAGTGCTCTTTTTTATTTTAGAAGTCCGCACCAAAATAATCAGGTTGGCTAGCATTCATGCCAATTTATAATAATTAACAACAAATCGTAAATTAAGCAAAATGGCAGACTGTTTTTTAATAAATTTCTTGCAAGAGATAATCCAATTTCGTGGCCTATGTACTTCCATTTTCGCCTCGACTCGATGCTTACAATTCACCTCATAGTTCACAAAAATAGAATTTGTTCTTCCATTCAGATGTCACCACCTTACCATTACTTTTGCTTAAATATGCCGCGACGCGAATTCCTATTCAAACCTACCTTACGTAATGATTGTGGAATAAAATTCCATCCCATTACGGAAGCTAACAAGTTGGAGCGAGGATTTAATTTTTCTTCCGTTTGGCCTAACCCAGCTATGTTGAGTTATTATAGTCAATAATAACTAATGTTGCGCAAATAGGTTTGGTGTAAAGCCCTTGAACAAAAGCGGTCGCGTTAAAGTGGGGGATACGGATGTCGTGTAGTGAAAGAGCAAGCAACGACACTTGAAGATATTTCGCCCGAATACTTGTCGCAAAACTTGAGAATAATTTCGTTAGCAGATGTGAAGGCTACACAGCGATAGGAAAATTGAATCGCTCATTATTTACCAAACATGAGCCAGAGATAAAATATATATACTTAATTTTCATGGGGTCATAGTTGATCTTTGAAGTAATTATGATTTAGTAGTTCGAGTCTGGAAAGAAATAGCGAATGGAATAGATATGTACTTAGCAATGAGAAACGTAATAATTACCTTCCCAATTTAAAACTGTTTCAGTTAGAAGCTTTTGTAATTTAATACAACGTAGCTGGTTAATTTCTCATAAGTTTTTTGAAAATATTTTTTTGAGTAATTTGGCAATCAATTTGAGTCCTACATTCGACATCTTTCAAATTCTGGAATTGTCTCTAAAATTGTAAAAAAAGTGTATTTTACAAGTGCCTTACTTAATATGATCATAAATTTCAAATATCCTTCTGTTCCGAGTTTTTGTGAGTATTGGTATAGTATAGACAAGACGCCGATGAGAAATAGATCCAATAGCAGACATGAAAACGATAAAATTCGCCCAATTGTCATATGAAATGTCGTAGTAAGCGACAAAAAGTTGCTTTCGCGCACCCGATAAATGTTTTGTATTTTGCGGACAAAATGTGACATCTGAGGCCACGCTTATACATTACAAATGTCGATAAATTTAAAAATCTTGAAAGATAACAGATTTCATAACTGTTGAGAATAACGTAAAAATTATTCGAAAATTGGGTCGGTGACTGCAGTAGCAAAATAACTATTTTGGATTGAGTATTTGATTCTAGTAATACTTTAATGTTACATGGTCATTGATGCTCTTAGGTTGCCAATCAAATTATAGTTCCAATAATATTTCCCACAATTACCTAGATCGTTTTCTGATTAGTTTTTATACGAGTGTAAATTGAGGGTATGAGAGAGTGAAAGAGATGCAGTTATGCTAAACTTCTACTACACGTCTTTCCCATTGCTTAGCGACTTGAGTAAATCTGGTAAACTAAATCCCATAACTCAAAGTAAATAAACAATCGAACAAGTTTAGTCTACTTTGTGTTTCTCTTTATCCGAGGTAAGCTTATAATCTGCCAGGAAGGATCAACAAATTAACTCCAGATTTGGTATAGTGTCAAGTTTCGGAATTTTCATACATTCTTCCCATGTAGGCCTATTTGGTTTGTTTGTATGTTGGCTTTAAGGCCAAATTGATAACCGTTACACATATGAAAGTATTAAAAGGTTTTTATGTTTTAAAAAAGAAGAATTAAAAAACGTGTTCAATGTGTTCAGAATTACAATGTCAGCGGTTTATTATGTTTAAGTAGTTGTCAGATTATGACTGGTTAAAATGTATGTTGCAGCTTTTTTTTTTCTGGTGAACGCTTTTCTAAAACTTACGGCTGTAATTAGCCTTTTGTACCACAATTTTTCATATCTCTTCTAATATTTCAATATATCTACATCTGAGTTTGTTGCCTATTTAATTCGTGGTTCTGCTTTACAAATGTATAACCCCGTTGAACAGAAGTTATAAGTGCTTGTCTGTTCACTTCACCAAGTCTTTCACCACGCCTTTAAACGAGTAACATAAATAAACATCAAATATAAATAATGTTCTTTCAATTCCTCTAGAAGTGTGTGCCTTAGTATGTCAAATGTGCCAAAGCTTAGAGTAAGAATTTGAATTGTTACAAATGGCATACAATAACTCTTCAAGGATTTGTAAGAGAAGATTGTAAATTTTTGGCAACAGCTTTTTGTGTCATGACGTCACCAAAGTCTGTTAGCGTTTCTGAACAAGAGTCGGCATCGTGGTGCAGTGAACCTCAAAAGATGGCGGAAAACGTATCAATGCTGTCAGCGTCTGATGCGGTTATCGAGGACAAAATTTGTTCAGGCCTTTCAGATTTAAGTCAAGCGTGCCACGTGACCCCTTGTGCTTTTGAGCAAAGGAAACGATCAAACTTAGTTTCAAAGGTTTTTGATGAAGGATTTACAAACTCCGACATTTTTGAGGATATCACTCATATGAAAACCGTCTTCAGAAAGACGCCCGCTTCATGTGAAATGCGACAAATGAGGAGACATTTAGCGACTCAATCCTCTTCTCACGTTACAAAAATATCTTCAAATTGTCCAAAAAGGCAATTTACTCAAATCAACGATAATTATATGAAAGAAAACTTAACGAACTCCAGTAGAAAATCTTTCGTCAGAACAATTCAACCATGCAACAGATTATGTACAAAGTGTCGTTCACGCCATTTTAGTCCTTTAAAAAACTTATTTATTTATTCGGTTTTCGTCATTGTCATCTTCCTGGCACACCATCCTGTGTTGTCTGCTAAAACTCGGCATCTGAGGAAGCGACAGCGTGATACAGATTTAGGTGTAAACGAAATTATTATGCCTATGTTTCCGAATGCTGGATCTAATGAAGGTACAGTTTCAATGACATAGATTGTATTTAATCGTATAAAAACTAGGTGACAGTTACATACTAATTTCTTATTTTTTCACCACGTTTTGCGAAACAGTATCGGTATATGCGTTCTTTCTTCTAACCAATGTGGAAATAGGGCCCGTTCATGTTCAAATTTCTGAATATTTAACTGATTTCATTTGCATTGCTGTGTTATGGCCGATTAATATGATTCTGATAGCAACTGATTTTTGAGGCCAAAGTATGGTAACAGAGCATATGGTATACCAGCCAGTTTCCCACCCGTTTCCAAAACCATCCCCGACCTTTCATGAGCTTTATACTATTGTTACGTAGGAAGTATTTCTGACACTTGGCAAATATCAGCCACTATATTTCAAGCAATATAATACTATAGGTCTGCCCACATTTTTTGAAAAAAAGGTGTGTCTCCTTGTTTGCTTTTTATCAAAGGCGAATAAACCGACGATTAAATTGAGTGTTCCCACATTGTGTATCTGTTAACACCATCGCTTTCTTAAGAATGTTTATTTAAATAGTAAATACACAACGGGAACATGGGTGAAGATTCAAGACTCGGCATAGGAATATTCCACCAACACTAATGAATTCTTCTAATAATTATATTAAAGCAGAATGCATTACATTCACATGTTGAAGAAAATTCCGCATGCATTTAAATTACAGAAAAAAAATCCATTGAATAAACTAAAATTCCATAATATTCGAGTTTCCTCCATGTGTACAAAGAAAAATTAAAATTGCATAACATCGTAAACTTCTAATACTGATGCACTCGGACGAATTCGATTGAGCATTTCCCAGTATAAATTTTATTTTATTTTGTTCATCAGAAGACCATGAAGATTTTATACCAACTGCCTAGATTTTAAAGTCACTAAAAACGATAATTATGATCAAAACCGCGATTTTGTTAGTTGCATAATTAATTGATAAATGATGTCAAAATTTGTGTTACATTCAAGCAAAAAATTGACCTGTAAATATTACCTTCGTGTAACTATTTATATGCGTATGAATTGAACCATTTTTCAACATATCTTTGTTTGATTACGCTACATCAAGATATATTCAAAGTTAATCATTAACAATCTTGAAAAATCACAAATTTAGTGATATTTTCACGTATTTCAAAGCAGTATGATCATTGTTAAATCACTATTGGTAATGATTTCGCGTAGTTTTTACATTGTTCAGAGTTAAATACAGTGAAATTGCATTTAATCTGTCAAATTTTTAGTAGTAGATTATGATATCGTATTATTTTGATATTTGGTGTGACGTATAACAAACGTATCAAGTTTCTATTGCGGCTTACATGTATTACAATCGTATAATCATTCGACACCAAACACGCCGCCGTGACCTCTAATTTTGCCAAAATTAGTTTTATTCAACAAAGCCAAATTTTATTATCCGTGACGTTGGTATACTTTGAAGTACCTTATTGTTAATGTTCGAGTAAAATTATATTAATATCACCCACATCACAATGAAAAAATTGATAACACCACAACAAATTGAACCTTGGTAGTCAAGGAAGCTCTGATGCGCAGTTGTATGACTTAAACAGACACGGGTGAGAAGGCGCGTGTCTGTGAACAATTTTAAGAGTTTGGCGTGTAAATAAATTTTATACTAACCGGTATCATTAAACTAAATCTTTCATCGGAGTGTTAAGAAACATTAGTGAAATGATTTATACGCCGGGAAACAATTTATCGCATATTTCAGTTCTTAAATTTCATTGGAGAATATTATTCATACATGCTTTGATACTTCAAGGATATGGTTTCTTGAAAATGAGAATGAAACACGGGATAATGTGACACGAGCTATGTCAAATAAAGGGTTAGTGGTAAATTCCAATAAAATGAATAATAATATTAACAAGGGAGCGATGCTCAAATATTTGGACAAGAAGACCAAAACGAAATAGTACGTTATGCAATATGGCACAGTAGACTACCGCCACAAGGTGCGCAATTTTTAATTTTAATGACGTCATCGAAAGACGATCGATTTGTAAATTTTGTGTTCCAAAATTTGTTTAATGCATATAGCATGTACTTCGAAACCAAGTTGAACTAACGACCCCAGCGTCTTCCAAATCCAACATTTTTGTTGCGAATATCACTATATTTACATTGTTTACAGGTCTTTATCCGTCAATGGTGAACCTCGCCGCTCAAGCTCGTATAGTCGCAAATGCTACTTGTGGTGAAAATGGCCCAGAACAATTTTGTAAGCTGGTAGAACATGTTCATCGGATATCAAGACGACGACGGAAACGGAGTCAATGTGACGTGAGTGTTGCAAATACTAGTGGCGTTAGTGTACAGATCAGTCTTTAAAAATCCCAATATTTATGGCGCATATAGTCTACCGATGATGTTTCTCCGACCCTTGACCTCAGAGAATTCCTCCTTATACTTTACTATTACAAAATTTCGGATGCTCATAATGCGAGTGTTCTGGAGCTTACAAATTAGTTTACATGTTCATAACTATCATTTTCATTGAAAACATTCATCCATGTGTCGCTTGCAGGTACTGATAATAATTTTAGCCTATAGTCTATCGCAGATTTTGATTATTGTACGTAAACTGGAGCTCTTCAAAAGACTATAGTGGCCTTTAGGTTATTTCATTTATAACTAATTTTCGGAAACACTACTGAAAATTGACAAATAACACACAAAACCACTAAAAGGAGGCTACGTTTACAACCATGCTTGGGTATCTGTATGAGGGAAAGAAGTGTCTAAGCGGCTGCACAAATTGCAATTGTTACGTCATTGTTGACTTATTGCTGTTTGGTAATTGTTACGGAAATAAACAGGTAAACCAATTCTAGGAGAAACGTTCATAGTATCGTAACGAGCCGATGAATTCTCATTGATGTATTCATTTCATCTCCTTGAGTCTATACATCTCTTACCAATGAGCACCCTTTCCGTGATTCTATTCCCAGCTTTCAGACATTCTAGTTGTTATTCCCGGTTTATGCAACTGATGGGAAATTGACTAGATTAGATATTTCTAACAACTTTTCATTTTGTGAAAATAGATTGAATGGGGGAATTAACTTCTAAAAAATTACTGTTCCACATTATCCTTTCTCAGATATGTTCTTCACATCCTCATCAAAGTCACGATATCGAATATGCAATCGATGGTAGAGGAAGTCGTTGGTGGCAAAGTCCTACTATAAGTAGTGGATACGAATACCATTGGGTGACAATTACATTGGATTTGAAACAAGTATGTTCTATTTTTCTAACTTTCTTCAACACTTTATCGACTGATAAGTTTCCCCCTTAGGGTACCAAATGTAGTCTGTTCTTTTCAGTTATCATGGTCGCACTGGAATAGAGAAATAAAATTAATTGCTCGTGCCTTTATAGAGTATTTTCATCTGCTTTGCGTGTGATTTAGTCATATCCTCAAGAAACAAAATTACTTTTTGCGACATGTTTTATGAGATTATTTCGCTGTTTGTTTTCATACTCGAAAATCGTCTTAGTCTAGACAAGGAGTACTTGACAATTACGACGTTCATAATAAAGCTGTAGGTCATAACTTGTTATTTTGTTGTGTTTCATTCACCAACTAAATAAACGCAAATTTGTGAAAAACGCATGAAATATGTTGGTAAGCTTGCGTGATGCAATGTAGATAATGAAATGCACTATCTGTATGGCATCATAGCACCTGATTTTTGCAAACAAGTAAGAACAGATTACATCAAGTCAAAATTGAACATCTAAAAATTAAGTTCTCAGTTAGATGAATATATATTTTCCAAATGCCATTTTAATGATTCCCTAATAGACATTGAGTGAAAGTACTGCTACTACACAAGTTACTAAAACTCTTAATTGATAAATATATACATTTAAGCCAATATACCGTTTGTACCAGATAGGGGGATACCGTATTGCTCTTCCCATAGTGAACCAAGCTGGATTAATAGGAAAAATCATTTATATCAGTGACTCTAATATTGCGATACAACATCGTCCTAAATAAAACCAGCAGAACAAGAACCATCGCAAATGCGGAATTTTTTTTATCGTTCATTAAATGCCTTTCTTATCAGATAAGTTGGCCGGTTGTTTTCATACTTTCAACACAATAACATACGCCCACTTGCGTCTGAGTGGGACCCAACCAGCTGTGCGCGTGATTAATTTTTACCACACTGCCGACGTCTGAAAAAACACGAGCTTGCATGGTTACTTTATTAATTTTTTACAAATAAAATGCAGAGATCTATCTGGTTTACCTACTTCCTTAGGTATGTGGAACTGTCGATGTATCCTTATCAAATCAACTTCACTTGAACGTAAACATTTCGTCATTCTTTCAAATATATAAGTACACTCCCAACATGCATTTTATGTATTTATTTTTATTATTATTCTAAATATTTTCGTTTATCATCGGCGCTTGCTTCTAACTTACCTTAGGCAATGGAATAGTCTTGACCACAAATGGAATTAGGGTCAATTTCAATTCCACGTTTATGACGTCGACATTTACTTCGCATGCAATGTGTCCATGGTTTGTTGTTGTTCTCACCTAAAGTGTTTAAAAACTGTTACGATCTTGTTAAATTCATTTTTCAGTGATGTAATCTTGACTTCTTTTATAACAAAAACGCATAGATTTTACACGAATTTTGTAGTAACTAGAAAGTTATAATTGACAGGCTTAAATTCTATTTAAATATATATTTAGGAGTTCAAATCTACTGGTGGTTATTATTATAAATGTATAAATCGAATATATCTCTCTAATAATTTTTTTGGGTATAAATCATCGCAATATGCTGAAAATTAAGTTTCACACGTAAAATATAACATTCAAATTTCTACAAAATCATGAATAAAAAAAAAACATTTCCTTCATTTTCTGTCTTTGGAGAAAATTTATTGAAAATTATAAACATGCTAGTTTTTGCTTGAACTTTTGTCATATGTACTACGCACTTTTTTTAATTTATATACGACGTATTTATAAAGAATTCGCTCTGAACTAGGCTCCACATAATCAGCCACTGCTGGGTGAGTAGCTACAAGAACCGGAATTTTACCGGTGGTGGGCATGGGATTTAAACTCAAACTTCCAATCTGCGACGCCATCACCTGATAGGTTCAACGCTTAAACCACTGCGCCGCGACTATTGCGTGAATTTATGTAAAACGGTTTAATTCTTCCAATTTTCCAATATTTCATTTTTTAATTTGATTTAATTTATTTTTAATAAGGCAAAATAATGCGCCAAATTTCTATATAGATCACATGTAATATGTCGTGTGCCTCTGCTTGATAATTGACTAAATTTTATCTGATGCCAAAATATATTTTCGTTTCAAAGGATTCATGTAGTACATTAAGAGGTCAGACGCATTTAAAAGATGCTATTCAAATTTACATTTACAAATTAAATTTGGCCAAGGATAGAAATAGATAATATTTTCTTTCTAATTGTGTGTTAGTTATGAATCACACTTGGTCGACTATGATAAAATAATCACCGATATTCAAACTTAATGCTATCTATTATCGCCTCATTCGCGCCACAAATGCCATTACCGTGTTTCTATTCTGTTTTGAAGAAGCATTTAAATTTGTTGGGGTGAGCAGATGTACTCACTTTATCATAAAACACTTTTATCCACTACTATATATCATTTACGCCTGGAACGGATCTATTTTTAAGAATGTCGCGTGAGTAATAAACATAGGACTCGTCGCCTTCAAAGGCGTCTCGTGCGAGTGACGTCATAGTCTGGCGACGCGGTCGCCGTGAACGACACAAATTAGCCCGCAAAGCTTGTGTTTCTATAATCACGCAGCGATTTGGTTATTGGCTTCAACGTTCAAAGATATCGCATAAAATTAGGACAAATTTATCCAAAATTTGCGATTATCAAGAATATCGTTTTCGAATTTGTTTTATATTTACTGACAACGTTTCAAATTTTAAATGAATAATTGAAAAAATGTCAATTTCGGCTACAAGCGTCCCCGTGAATTGACTAATGTTTGTTTTAATATTATTATACATTAAGAAGTGGAACTTATAGAATGCTAATGTAATTTGAAACCACAATTCTAGTGTTTTGGTGACATGTATTGCGTGCCACGGGCGCCACACTTCAGAGAAACTTCTTGACCCGTACTGTAAATTTGAAAGTATATCCAAAACGATATGTTAGCGCCATTTCCATATCTTCTTCGATTCCCAATTTTTTGGGCGAAAACACAAAAATCACCATATATGGAAATATCACGATAGTACAGATCAAGTAGCTCGTCTCGAGACGCGTTTTGGGAATAATGGAAAATTGTAGGCCATTTTATTCACAACCCCTTGTTTGATCGATGATGAAATCCTCAAATTCAAACAACGCATTATGACGTAATAGAAATAACTCAAAAACGCATTTTACGGCTTTTACACGAAATAGTCAATTTTCGATGTTTTGTAAATATAATTATGAAACGCTAAAATGACATCCTCGGAAATGAATCCCTTATATCTGGTGCTAAAATTATTTGAAAAAATACAAATTTGATGTTTTTAACATTTTAAAACGATTTTTCTCTAATAAAGTGGGATTTTTAACCCAAATCATAACAGCTGTTAAAATGTCGTCATTATTTGAACGTTTTAGATAATTTTCCTCGTTAAAATACTTTTTGCAAGTATTATATTTGTTGCAATATCATGTTTTGGTTTTGCTAAAATTTTGTGGCAAAAGTAAATGTGAATTGGTCGTTTTACAGATGTTATCTTTTTCGTATGTCATTGCAGAGTGAAAAAAAATTTTAGCATTTTAAAAATGTCACTTTTCGTTTACAAATTATTATAGTATCAATATGACGTAATTTTTATGCATGAAAAATATCAATGTAACAAAAAATGTTTTACCAACTTGGCCCGGGGTTACTATTCTAACCTTGGCCAATCAAATATTTGCAGTTCGGAATATTTTGAAACTTGTCCTACTCAGTTTCCCATGACGCAATTTCTGGAATGTAGAGTCGAGTGTATATGGTCATAATGCATAAGCCCTCATTACCATTATCAGATTATCTTGTCAGCTGGAAAGGAAATGGACAATCGCCATTTTGAGATTTACTCTTTTAATTATGTACTTTTGCATATTTACTGCTTATTTTAGTAACTTCTGTACATTTTTATCTACACACACGATTTGCGAAACTGGAAAAGTTGAAATAAAATTTATTTTTTTGTCTATTAAAACTGCAAATGCCCGGCGATTTAGATATATATAAAGTTTATTGTACATGTTCAAAATTTGTTTTTCATTTTTTTAATATTTTTATAAGTGAAATACGAAATCACATAATATCAACATCTCTGCATTGCTTATTTTTTTTTATTTTTTTTTCGGCTAATATAAACACTATATGACTATTGAGAAATGACACTCCGCTTTTTATTTTAAATTTAATCTAGTAACAATAGCAAATCGCAATTTGGTCTTATCAGATGGTTTTTCGACCAAATCTAGCAGATTATTGATCCAAAATTGGAAATATCACTCTTGACTATCTTGAACCAACCGATTTTTTCGGTATATCAAAGAATTTCTGAAATTTGGCGGTTGTGATTTTAAAAATTGGAATCACTTAATATATTATGCGAAAATTGATAACGTTTTGAATTTCCAAGCATAACAAAAATTTCAGCAAAATTACCAAAATTACACGATAATAAAATGAGTGACTTTGTCACGGTATAAAATCATTAAGATTTTGCAAGATTTTAATCACACGAAATACCGAAATAGAATTTCAATTTTCTGTTATTGTTTTAAAATTGTGGCATACAAAAGCAAATAATTTTTATCTAAATTGATCGTGGATGGCACATTGCTAAATTGTCAGCGAATCTGACATAATAATTCAAGAACTAAAGAATATTTCACTTAATATTTTTTGATTTTATGCAATCTATTGCCAAAATATTGGTACACATGTCAGCAACTCTGGCACAAACCTGGCCATATCTGATAAATCGAAATAAGACGCCATGTTTTGGTTGTGGGTTCAGGTTACATGGTGGATCACTCAAACGCGTGTCGCGTATAACGTGACTTTGAAACTCGATATTGACCTAACGATCGCGGTTACTTTCCATTTCATCTGTGACGTATTATATCACGTGACCAAACATGATAAAATCAATCATACGTGACACATTTTATTCTAACGACAATATCAGTGACATTCATAATCCCTATCCATATTTATAGTCTTGATATAAAAAATAAAACCCACAAAATTAGAATTTTTTCCCTCTGATCTCATCCATACATTTACAGTTCAGCAAACTTAGGTTTTGATTCATTAACCCGTTTTCATTATTTTAAAACGAATTGTCTATATAACCAATTTGGGTTAGATGAAGTAACTCTCAGTTACCACCAAGAAGTAAATAAAATTTCATTTTGACTCCATCTATAGGCAGATTCAAATCTTTCCATAACTTTTTGGCGTATCGCCATTCACATTCGGCCAAAGATATTCGAGTCTTATTAATAATTTCAATCCTGAGCAATATCCTGTTTGTGGTAGATCACTGCTGTTTTATTTGGATGATTTGAAGACATAATATGATTGATCCCCTCGGTGTGAAGTTTACCGCTTTTTTGTTGAAAAATTACCGTAACCGTTGGCTTAAATTAATCCAATAAAAATGTATCACATTATGACCTTCAAGCGAAGCTGTTTCCTAAACGGCGTGGAGAAATTAATTTTTTTTTTTTTTATGAAAAAATATAAATAATAAAAATAAAAAAAGATTGAAACTAAAAAAAAAAAGGAGAGGTTGAAACTGAAATTGGACTGAGCACGGTTTCCTTAATTAAGTGAGTTTAGATTTTCCGTTGAAAGACCTTATTTTGATGTTCTGTGCGCTCATTTTTTTGCTGTGGGTGTCAGCGGTGTCCAGTGTTCGGCTTAAGACGTATATCCGTTGCGGTTATAATGAAGTATTTCTGATATTGCAACTACGATTACCTTCCATTAATATTTCCGCTCATTTTAACAGTATTCATTTTTAGTCGCCCTCGAGAATAAAGTTAGCCAATAACCAATATTGACTTAATGGGTCTCCCGCTAACACAGTAATATCCTTATTAAATTCGAAAAAGTCAATGATCTCTCACTGGTTAATCCGCTTAGCTACGGTGCTACACTAAATCCATTCAAAGTATATTAATAACAGCGCTGTTGGATCGCGTGGCGATTTTTAATAATGCAATATTAATTTGCTGGGTTGGCGGTACCGCATAGGATGCTGTATTGTCATTCGATTCATTTTCGCACAAAATAGCAAGGTCCGAGTAGAAATGGGAATGGATATATTGTCACCATTCGCGAAGGATTTAATATTCAATGCGCTGTCAAATAAACAGCATGTTAATATTTTTCAAAAGATTGACAAATCGAGTTGTAATTGGAAATCGTGCATGCATTGTTTCCATTGGAATAATTAGAAAATTAGACCGATTCTCAAATCTCAACATCATGATTTCGATTCATTTTCACGCCAGTTCATAGGTTAGCTCTCTATAAAACTTGTTTTGTGCTGAATCAGAATAAACCAAATTGATATTTTGATTGGAAGTTGTCTGTATAATCATAAGCAACATCTTTTTCTTAGTTCGCGTCCAGGTACAACCGGATTTATTTAGGTTTCCAGTATCTTAAAACGTTAATGAAATAACCAAGCAATGGAAAAGCCTAAATTCACATAGTTATATAGCTACAAAAAACACCAGTTGATTTACAATCTGAAGTATTTGTGTTCAATTGTGTGTGGAAATGCTATTACCATTTTTAATGTAGTAATTTTCATTGCCAGACACTCAGTTTTTAAAATATATATTTTTTCACTGTGAATCATCAAATATTTTAATGAAACTGTTGTATCTTCAAATATTCCAATTTCCAGATAAAAATCCCCTTTAAATTTCAAATAACTTAACATTTATCCCATTAATTTCTATTCGAGTCATTACATAATTGCTAACTTCCGATTTTCTGGGCTTTTCCAGGTCATTGTAGAGTCACATCAGCGTTAAAAAAATAAAATAAATTTTATAGCGGATTCGTGCCGAGTGACGATTTTACTAGAGCACGTTCAGTGATCGTTAACTCGATGCATCGATAGTCGATTTGATTTACTGCGTACATTTTCTTTGATCATTCACCTAATCTGTGATCGTAAATCGAACGACTAGACTGAACAAGACGGATTTTGATAGATCCAACGACTTAATATGCCAGCCGTGGGCCGCGAGTTGGTCGGATTAAATACAGATAAATAAGTACCGTCATATAAAATATTTTGGTATAAGCTTATTACAGGCAAAATTTTGAAATTGATGAAGTAGAATGGACTTCAAGTTCCGTGAACGTGGCTGTTTCCATAATATTCTCCATAAATACGAATGTCAATAATACACCTTTCAATTGAAATTAAAGACTTGCAATCTTTTATAATTACATATCGAAAGTCATGAATTGCAGTACGTGAGGCGTTTTTGGTGTGAAATTTTGACGTCATATCGAAAACGCATTTTTCCTTGGTATGAGGAATTGTCTTCTTACTTCTGCGAGACCAACAGCGTTTGTTTAAATTGAAAATTTTGCGTTCCTAGTCTCACTACAAGACTTGCATGTCTCATGTCTATTATATCATTAATTAGTAAAATTTATAGGAGGAAAACTTTGCTTTAATTTCCATATTTCGTTATTACTTCTTATAGGTCTTCCAAGTGGCGTACTTCATTTTCAAAGCGGGTAATTCACCAAGACCAGGAAATTGGATTCTAGAAAAATCTCTCGATGGCATCACATGGCAAGCGTGGCAGTACTTTGCTGTCACGGATAGCGAATGTAGACATCGTTACCCAGCTCGAGTCACAAGAATGGGATCACCAAAGTTTCGTTATGACAATGAAGTCGTCTGCACCTCTTTCTTTTCGCAGTTATTGCCACTTCAAAATGGAGAGGTGAGTGAATATTAAATGTTTCGCATATTTTTAATAACCATTTCGGCATTTACCCCTCTCTCTTGTCAGCGTTCCCTCATTTTCATTATTTCGTTCCTATTGCATTTCCCACCTTTTCTCTCTTGTGCAGTTCTCACGTTTTCCCACCATTTTCATGCAAACCCATCAACTTTGCCTGAATTTAGATTCACATATCAATGATAAATGGGAGACCAAGTGCAGAGAACCCTTCTGACGAATTAATAAAGTTTACTTCCGCTCGTTACGTTAGACTTCGATTCCAGAAGATACGAACTCTCCATGCTGATCTTATGACAATCTCTGGCCAACCGGCAGAGTACGTGGACCAGTCAGTGACGCAACGGGTAAGACGACTTGTCAGTATACTTATCAAAACACCCACACAATTTAAAATATACCCAAATCGGAACCCGAGATTGTAACACGTCTACATTTACACTTATTTTTCAATTTAAGATCAAACACGATACAACGGTGTAATATTGCACCTGAAATGTGCTTGAGGGGAGGGGTCAATTGACTTTCCTAGCGACCATTGTCAAGCTTTCTCTGTAATCCGTAATTTAAGGAAAATTGGCGACATCAAATACGTTTGACCGCTGATTTCCGCTCGTGGCAGGGAATAGACTCAGGCTAGTCAAATTGTTAATATCAAACATGGTATACACCAAGGAAGTGTATATAGACTACATCTATTTGTTCTGTATATCCTGATAGCAAGTGTCTATTTATGTTACAAACAAAACATTCCCAGATTAACCTAAACTCTTGAATGATCGTGACAATATCACTTATAAAATATATATATTATTTAATAATACTTATCTCTGATCTATATCCGATATTGTTATAGATATCTCCGATATCAATTTGTTATGACTAGTTAACTAGATTACAATTCAGATTATATTCAAGGGCTACTAGATATCATTGCAAATTTCCGTATTATAAAAATAGATCAGTTTATTTATTTCCCAAACTAACAAATTAAAAGTAATCACGAAATGGGCGAAAATGGCGTCAAATTTTCAATCAAAGAAGCCGACATTTCAAAAAGATTTACTGGCAATAATTTCCATATTTTGGAAAGTTTGTTTTGTAGTCACGTAAAATAATTTTAAAATAGTCAGAAAATTCGAAGATGTAGAAGTAGCGAAAGTCGGAAAATATTTTAATCAGACAAAGATACGCTTTAGAAAAAATTATGGAAACATTCGTAAAAAAATCTAAAAATTGTGCTGCCAGCGATTTTGCAATATTCGTATTATTATTTGTTTACCTTTTAAACAGGATTCCCGACACCTCGCTGGCTAACTTACAACTTTGACAGCCGCACCGAACGAACGCATTTAAAAATACCTACCTTACGTAAACTTGCGCGCATCGCATACACACCTGCGCCTTGGGATTATATGTTTTTCGTTAGTTTGAGTCACGCCATATCTGGTTTATTGTTTAATTTCGTAAAATGTATAGGTCACTTATGTACCAAGCATGGTCGAATATTGTCGAATAGGAAACGAGATTTAACTTTTAAATCGTTGGATTTCATTGAACATGTATTTTGTGAAATAAATTGTAACGTAGTTGTTACAAGTCCAGGTGCATTCCTGTTTAGCGGCCGGTATGTGTTTGATATGGGGGCTTAATATTTTTATGACAGGGTTTAGAATTGCTGCGCTAAACCCCAAGCCGTGGCATCAAAAGAATGGGTCTTCTAGCAGAGTTGTCTCATATAGATATTAGTATATGAACTATTGTAAAAATTAATGTTATTTTTTAAATAGGAAATAAATAAAAGTAAAAACAAAACGATTTCGACAAAAAGTGAGCTTATGAATCTATATTCAATGGTTATTGCGAAAAATACTCTTTAGTCGCTGGACTTCTTGTTGTAAATGTTCTAGTAATTAGGGATGATGGGCCTTAACATTATTTCCTTCCTGAATTTTTCTTGCCTATTGTTTTACCTAGCACTTTGCAGGTTTTCAAATAAATGCTTCATATGGTATTAGATATAGAGTGACACACCACCATCCGTGTCCGTGTATATTTATGGTTTTCTTTCTATTTATACCTCTTCATTGTTTATTCAGATTTTCGAATTTGTGGTTTTATTTTGTCAAATAATATCTGATTTTGAGTATTTGAATACATCACGATGTCATGTGGTTCTTGACAGCATTTACATTCTAATAAATTCTATAATATAAGTCTATATAATATATATGTTTGTTTGTTCTGAAAACGTTGCCCGTTTATTTTAAACCTAGTCTAATGTTCATACTAAAAAAGCTGGTAGACGAATTTGTGATACTACAAACAGACAATTACAATATGATAAATCAAATTTGGCGCTGGAAAGGTGCGGCCGCCATTTGACGACAGCCTTGCGACATATATCGGAAATGATGTACATGTGCTTTTCGCTTTTGACTTCCCAGATAGTCTGACTTAAAAATTATCTTTGAAATCTAACTGTATCTCATGTATGATCAATGTTCATGTGAATAGAAGTAAAATTCCCGATGATAGAAATGACTTTATTTGATATGTCTAGTTTTTGTCTCCCGATCAAGCGATTTTATTCAGCTCTCCTTCTCTAATCTTTTAATCCCGACGCACTTCGACGGGGTGTTGTATGAAATTTAGAAATGTAGATGCCACACTTCTGTCACGCGACGTTGTGGTAGCCTGGTGTAGCTTGAATTGGCAAGATTAGCGGTACTGGATGAATGTATCAAAGTACCTGCTTTAGGGCTAGTATATTATATATTGCTACTCATTGCTGCCCATTTAACCCAAAATAACGAATAAATTGGACAAAAATTGTAACGGTTTATGGGCAAACAGAAAGCCGATTTTCGCGCTTTCTAACAACAAAAATGCCCTTTTCAATTTTCTTCGTTTGGTCGGCAAATGGCGTCATTTTCAGAGACCATGAAATCCCTATCCCGATTGATCTTACCCCTACCCTACCAGTGCAGCAAGATTGTGCTCACAGTGTATAATAATGCAACATAAACATGTTTTGCATAGAGCTTCTTCGGATCAAAAATATGTATTGGCACTAGAAATTTTACACCAATAGCTTGCTATCCATTGAATCATCCTGACTCGAAAGATATTGGGACAGACGTACCAACATTCATAATACGTTTTGAAGTGACTTGCAGATGCTATTTCTAGATTCAATTATAAAAAATCATATCAAATTTGACTTTTGCGGTTATTAATGATATTGGTTCGTCCTCAAAGACAGTAGGCCGATTTAGTGAAATTGCCCTCAAATCGTGGAAGCCGCAAATGACATAATGCGAAAATTACAGGGCAAAATCACTTTGAAATTGAATATCGAGAAAAATTGTCCCAAAATCATACATTTAATTCAAATATTATTTTCTTGCCATATTATTCTTAAAATGCTTCCGAAAATGCAAAAAAAATAAATTGCAATTTCACTGTCATTCTATCATACCTTTGTGTGGAATGTTTCAGCGGTTCATCCCTGGACAACGTGCTGGGTAATCGCAATGACTGTTGTGAAACACTATTAACACTGATGTAAATATTTTACTACATATGCTTTATTTTCTACCATGAATGATATACGTAACGGTGCAAGCATAGAAAAAAAAATTAAATTTTTTTTCTGAACTTTTCCAATTAATTTTAACTGTTGGGATTTTTACACGATATGGTTTCTCACGACAAGTTCGGTTTCCTTGCACAATAGTTAAAGATTGTATTTTTCCAAATAACGTTTGTTAATTTTTCATTTTTTCCCCCATATGTATTATATTGCATAATTATAACTTATAGAAATGCGTAAATATTTCAGTCTTTATAGATCGTAAATAAACAGAGAACATAAAAAATTTCTTGAAGTATAAGATCAACAGCGTTCATAATATGATATCGCCGTTTTCTGATTCACATACCCCAGCGACGAGCTATCATATATCGAAGCTCAAAAAACGTGTTTGCGAGTTGCAAACACATATTTTAAAATTCGTCCAGCAAATAGACTGTGTGACTTGTTTGGGATTTTTCCATACAACCTCTTATTCGTCATATTGAATATTGTACACCTAAATTGCATTTTCCCGCGTCATAAACTTTATAAGGCGTCGGTATCAGTTCTGTTATGTACGAAGTCTCTAATCCGCTTTCCAGTCGAGGCTATCATTATCCAAAATTAGCCACTGAACACACTGGGCAACAATTGTTATGACCAAGTAAAAATCGTAATTATTATTAGTCGCTTACTAAAGATCCAGTGTTCGTGTACAGGTGTTTCCGGCAGCTGAAGTATTTCACGAAAGAGTGTCACTAAGCAAGCACTAATTGTAAATATATCTCAAATTAACAAAATTTTCAAAACGACAAATCCGTAAGACAATAACGTTACTTTTGGCAGCATTGTGCTGTCGATGGACCTTTGGTACAGAAAGTTAAACCAATTTGTGAATTTGTTTTTGTTTTTTATAGTTTTTTGTCAAGTATTCTTTTGCTGTATTAGTATTACAGGTATGATTATATGTAGGAAATAGTTTATTACAACTTTACAAATTCCTTCATTAATCCCTTTAGCGTATTACGGTGTATAGGACTAAAGAAACGTGGTACGCGGCCCAAACCCCTAATTACCACACACGTAGTATAATTGACAACGTTTTCTTTGGGGTCGCATAATAAATTCGTGTGGGGTCTCTTTCTTGCTTAATAATAAAAATATTAATAATTTCATGGCCAAATTTGAAAACATCGTATAAATTTCACAATGGTAGTAACAGTAGATTACTTCGCACGTGATTGATTTTGACATCACGTGATTTTTGATGATGACATCGCATCGCTTTGATTTATTGTCCATTGACCTAAATTAATGATTTTTACGAGTCGATTCAAATTTCGACAATAGGTAATTACACGATGTTACTCTAATTCAAATAATTCTTTCGATCTGACTTGCGATTCAATTTAAAGTTAACCGTAAATCAACGCCATTTTTTATTTATATATTAAGGGCGCAAAAGAGATTTCTTGGAGATCGGGTAATTTAGAGATTCTGGGTCGTTTGATTTCTTTTGAATATCCATCATTGTTGTTTATATTTGTCAATTAGAATGAGTTACCGTTTCTGTTTCAATTTTTCAAAAAATTCGTATTTAATTTAGTTATTTTGTGCATATTTGGCTCTTCTTCGAGGACTAATTTATGAGGAAGCACACCGCGGCCTAATTTTCCTTCCTCTACCTCTTGAGGTATATATATTCTTGCGAGCTTTCTAAGCTAGTCATTGAAACAGATGTAGAGATTCTGCGTTCGGAATCGATCAATCACGTTCTAGAATAGGTGGACAATTGGAAACAATATTTTACCCTTATTTGTGACAAATTGCTATTGTTTAGCGAAATGCCTCAAATAGGAAACGGTCGTCACCTTACATTTTCATTTTTATGTTAAATTTAACCAGATTAAATGTAACTCATTTCCGACATTTTATTTTTGTAGGGGTACACAATTACTCTTTCGCTGTCGTAGTAGACAATGCGACGTCACAGCGGCGCACGACTATTAACAATAGCAAAACCCGGCTATTTGTTACGTCACAAATAAAATATAAAAAAGTGTGTCGCCTTCCCATTGTCTTGTCGCACACCCCATTCGGGTTAATGAAGGAATAACCCGCTTGGATCTCCTCTTGTTTTTAACGGATCGTAAAAAGTCATTAACGTTTCGTAATTATCGGTTTGCGTTCATAAAGATAGCTACTTGATAGCGAAAAAGCTACTAGAATCGTACATGCGTGGGCCATTGATAGTCGATGTGATGTACGCACGATACGTAATTAGTTCATGGTTGATAAAGGGTAATATTTACTTAGAGAAAATGAGATTGCCGAAAATGGCTGACTTTCGTCGTCCGAAGAAATAACCGCCGCTTTTACCAATTATATCATTTTATATCTGAGCGATTTTCAGATTTAGTCGCCCGTAATTTCGGCTTCACTAAGCGAGAGACCGACTAGACAGAGATATATGGTTATTATGCGAGTGGTTTAGCTACCGGTACGTTTGTAGATAAATTATTTCAACATTAAATTCAGTTTTCAGATGTGGAAATAAAGCGACAAATTATACCACAATATAAAAGGAATGAATTAGATAAATGAGTGCGGTGATAATTGCGTTTCATTTCCAAGCGTTTTGTTTTTCTAAGTCCAGTGTAATTTTGATTCTCAAGTTAGTGGGAGACGCTGCAGTTTAATTTCGCGATCTTGTTAGCAGTACAGTACTTGCTGATCAGGGGAAGATATGATTAAAGGCGTGAAGTATATTATATGAATTGGGAAGTTAGTGTCAATATTGTTTTTATATGTTTTTAGCTATAGCTTATTTACCAGGGTTACAAATACTTATTTTCAAGTATATTACGCTGTAGACTAGGGAAAATTTATTTCGATGTTAGACTAAGAGCACTTCAAATGCACGCGTGTAGAGAAGCAACATTATTGCTGCATGGTTTTGACTCATGTTATCGGCTTCTAGACCAAATACAAATTTGATTCAGTCGTATTTTACGTAGTAAAATTCATGAATATGAATTCGAGGTTTTATTGCTTATACTTTTTAGTTGGATATGTACAGCTATCTTGATTGACAAGTTTTAGAATTTGTTAAAATAATTTGTAAAATTGGAATTGCGATGTAAGAAATTTTAATAGTTTCAAAACTTTGAATTACTTCGCTATAGCGTTTACTGTGTATATTATGGTGTGATTCTGTGCTCGAACACAAACTCATGCTGCGATTGGTCCCTTTCCTCGATGACGCTAGAAACAAGAAAATCCGACTACTTATCCAGATTAAATCATTTAATCCGTTTAATCTGACTAATCGGCAGCAAAACATGACTGACTCTGACAGCGAAACTCCTCTGAAATGTGATTTTACAATTCCACACCCGTATTTCCTATGTTTATTATTGTTACAAGTACACCTCGGTATGATGTAAAATTATTTATATAGTGTGCCGTATTGCCACTACACAGTATATTCTCTGTTCATTTCTTAGTTTGGAATTTACATTGACGTTTCAAAAACCTAACTAGTTAAAGAGAATTTGACATAAAAAATTGATGTTTTAATTTGACTTACATCTTACGTTAGTATCGTGAAATTTACTCTTCGGCGCTTGTTTTTTGTTTGTTTACATATTTATTTATTTGTGTCTGTATTTATTTTATGTACACTATAATGGTTTTGCATTTTAAATTGGAGACCTGGTGTGGTAGTGTTGTGGATTAGTGAGCGACGTAACTCGTTATAACAAAGTATGTAATTATTATGTGCCTGAAAATTGAAGGGGTATTAGATACTATTACAATGAAATTTCAATTTATTCAAATTTTAAGAGTAGAACCATAATTTTTCGTTTTTTCTCCAGTCTTTATTTTTTCCATGAATAAATTAAAAAAACGTATTAAGTAACCACAATCATTTAGATGATATTTCATATATCATTATTGGAACGAAACCACATTTGATAAAATCATAGCATATAAATATACTTTGCGGACAACCATTATTGTCGGTCTATCAGAAACCCCCACTTTGTGACGTAAAATGTAAAATTAAGAGGACATTAGAAGATTAATTACTTCTCTAATCCATGTGAACGAAACATAAACCACAATTGTCGACCGACCTTTTTACGACCCAATTTGTATTTTCTTTTAGTAATTACTGAAAAATCGGAGAAATATAAAAATCGAATATTAGAGTGGACCACGTCAGGGCAATACGCTAGGATTGTTTGTGTTCGAAAAGGATCATTTTGTAGCGTAATCCCTGTTCTGTATAATTCGAGACATTTAATTGCAAATAATTTTTTCTTCGATTAATGACAGCCAAAGATAATGTAATAAAGAGTTTCCTAAAACTTCTTTTGAAGAAAGTTAATTGGCGCTACCTTGATTTCCATTGTGAATCCTAGATTAATTCAACTTCAAATAAACACTGTTTTATTTAACGTTTTTAGTCAGTTTAAACCTTTATTTGAAGCATGGAACCATAGTGAGCATACTTATCTGATATCAGGAGACGGATTATATAAATACAAAGGTTTTCATCAACTATAGTTTACGTCATAAGTTGGTGGCGTCATTAGCCATGATGGATTGTATTATTGGACATACTTTTGGTATCATATGCTGGATTCTATGGGCATATATATGCAATTGTACTTTCGGTATGCCGGCGTATAATAGCCAAATGCATTACGTACCTCGGAGAAATTGGCATGCTCCTCCAGCTCGGTCATCTTATTATCGTATGGAGCATGACTATGGCCTCAGAAGGCGCTACGATTACGCTGCTTTGAGAGCTGTTTTACCTTCTCCTGGCTACGAGAAATTTGATATATATCCATATTCCACTTCACATCGGGTGTTATCTAGCAGAGATAAGTACCGGTATACCCCTACTTGGTATCCTATGCAAGACAGAATGATGCTGGCTAAAAACGTGTGTCCTTGTGGCGTTCGGGATAAACTTGACAATCTTCATGTAAGTTTTGTATTGTTACGTCATAAATATCAAGCTTACGTAGTTGTAAGCTTTTGCCGTTTTGTAAACTTTTTTGTTTATTTTCAAAATGTCGTGTGAAAATCTGCACGAATTCACAGACGGCAAACGTGTAATTGTATCATTTTAGTTAAATCCGTACGGAAGCTGGTATTTAGAATAGGAACAATGCCTCATAGACGAACCTGCTAAATTTACGGTTAGCCCGTCAATTACAAGCCAAGTTGTCTTATGGTTATAATTATTTCCTTCTAGTGAAATGATGACCATATTTAATACCACACAACATATATAATGTTAAAATCAATGGCATTTCTCCCGTGTTAAAGCATGGACAAATAAATTTAAGTCGTTTTTGAAGTTCAATCGGCCAAAAACAAGCACATTTTGATAAAAGAGGAATTAAGCGTCAACAGGGTTAATTTTGTCCATCTCTTCATAAGTCGACAGGAAGTGTTAGGTTTTTAATCCGTAAATCATCGGTGTTTTGATTCCGGATCAGCGGATCTTTAAACACAGGTTTACCGCGTTTGGTTGTGGTCCTGTCTGGTTTTGCGCCATGAATGAAGGTGCCGAATGTAAATTTGTATTAGGCTAGTGAAAATTATATGTGGTTTTGAATATGATATATTGAAATAGGAGTGACAGTGGGCATTCAAATTTTTTCAATACTAATCCCAAAAGATGGTTTGATTGTTATATCCGTTGATATGGTAAGTCAAAGCAAGATTTGTCTAAAAATAATACCAATCTAATGTCAAATTTGTTCAACATATTGTACCAAATAGCAGTCCACCCTGAACCCCCAAAAGAGGTAATTTGTTGAACATACTCGAGTCATTCTATAGCAAAAACCTGCTATATTTGTAAATATATAAATGTATATACGCACGCAATGATGTACATTTGCTTACTACATAGGATCAAAAACAAACAAACTACGTCATGAGAACTTTTATCTGGCAACCTTTAAATCTAATTAAAGATACACAAACATATAATTACCAACCGACTTTTGACGCCCAAAGGTTGTCGTCTGCTGGAGTCTTTTTGTTACTTTGAAACATCTGCAATTTTTAATTATCATGGTCGCGTGCTAAAATAAGATGATCTTTCAAGTTTGTCGCGTAATTATCGATCTTAAGTGTTTTATCTTATTAGCAACGGGTTATTATTTGTTTATCTATGTTCAATCATGATATGTTTAAAAAGATGCTAGATTTTGCGAAGTTCAACATTTACTCTGTACTATATAGTGCAAAAATTATTAAATTGGTCTGCCATAATAGACGTCGTTTTTATTTTAGGGCAGTCACACAAAGTCGTACATTCCCAATTAAGTGCGGGGTAATGATTTAGACATGTTCTTATTAAATAATTTCCAAATAGGATCTTTTGTAGAACACCCCCTCCGAAATGTGCGCGATCTGCATTACTCAATTTTTGGTGGGGATGTTTTTCTTAAATCTCACATTTTTGCATTGGTGGAGAGGTTTTCTACAAAATATCCTCAAAATAAATAAATCCTAAACGAAAATAGATTTGCATTGACATATAAAGAAAATTTATGATTTTAATCCTTGGATATACCATGTGTGGGACATTGAGGTCATTTCTTCAATATGGTCATTGGTAACTTTTAAATTTGCTTTTTCACAGTATTTCTATTCCGTGAAAGACATCAGTATCGGTGGGATGTGTATCTGCTACGGACATGCACACGATTGTCCGTCACACGCAACAACAGGAGTATGTACTATTATACATTTTTTCTTATTGAACTTTTTTTTTCATTTCCAACAAGCCAAACCAAAATACTACGCGATATGTTTCTTGTCCACGTTTAAAAAATTCGATCTTTTTTAGAAATTCATTTGCAAATGTGAGCATAACACGATGGGTGATAATTGTGAGCAATGTAGACCGAAATTCAACCAGTACAAGTGGAGCCCAGGGAATGGTGGATTTCAATGTGAAGGTAAGGCTGCGTACACTGGTAATTCGGCGGTTGCCACATTTGTAACGAATTCAAAATATTTGAAATTTTTTGAATGATTGCAAATTCTTTTCTATTATCTCAGAATGTAATTGCTACGGGCATGCCGATTCTTGTTATTACGATGAAAACGTTGAGTGGCGAAAAGAAAGTATAAATATGGAAGGGCAGAGAAAGGGAGGCGGAGTATGCATCGATTGCCAGGATCACACAGCGGGCATCAATTGTGATAGGTATCTTCGATTATTTTTTATAAAAAATGCTAGTCCGCGTTTAAACCAATTATGAACCATGAATGATAAACGATGGACCACACTTGGTAAACCTTGTTACTCAAATATATATACGAGTATATGTACGTAGAAGTGTTTATTTTTTAGTTGTGTTGATGGATATTTCCGACCTACCAATGTACCACCAGAAGATGTGCGACCGTGCAGACCTTGCGATTGCGATACATACGGTGCTCGCACAAATTTCGATGGTCGACAAATGTGCAGAAAAACGACGGAAGATGGCGGTGCACATCAAGGAATGCAACCCGGGGACTGTTACTGCAAGGACGGCTACGCGGGTTCCAAATGCGAGCGGTACGATTTTGATTGACTTGTTGATATTGGCAAGAAATACCCGTGATTAATATAATATTATTCGACAGATGTGACTTCGGTTTCCGTGGATATCCTCGTTGCGAACCTTGTCAGTGTAATCCTGCTGGAAGCTTGAATATGGATCCTTGCCATGGACCATGTTTGTGCAAGGTAAGAAATGTGTATTTTACATCAATTGTATACTACAATTGAAAAATGTTACTGAACTGTTACTACTACACTATTATATTACAAAATTCAGGAAAACGTGATAGGACCAAAATGTGACGAATGCAAAAATGGATATTTCAACCTGGAGCGTCAATCTCCGCTTGGATGTGAGACGTGTTATTGTTCTGGGATTACCAATCTTTGCGAATCCGCTGTGCTGTACAGGTAAATAAATGAACTTTTATCATGCTGGAATGCTTATATACTAATGGTATATCTTTCTACTATTCGTTTTAATATTTTACATTACCCAGTGGTTACTCCCGTAGTATGTGTATATGGTTAGGGTTGGGCCATAATTTTATTCCGATTTTCCTTATTTCAGTTCTATTACAAGTTCGGGGACTGTCTGTTTTAGCCAAGTAAATATACCCCCTGCCCATAGGTTTCAGTCCCTTTACACAACTTGATTAGTTACCCCCAAATAGGTACACATACTTCTTGAGCGCTGTTCAGTCAAACTTCAGCTTTGAACAACTTAAAACTGAAAAAATTCAATAGGGGACATTTTGATTTTGATTAACCAACATTTAAAACTGCTTGTTTTGGGCCATGTTAAAAGCTGTCAACTAACTAAACTTTCGTTTTAGGAGATACATTCGAAACATGCGTGGCTGGGAAGTTGTAGACAGACCAGCATCACACACTACCGTCCCATCTTATGACGAAAATTTGAACGAACCTTATGTTTCACACGAAGAAACAGCTCGTGCTGTATGCACTGGATTATATTTTTGGAAACCTCCCAATGAATACATAGGTATGTTTGAAAATAAAAAACATTGATACTTTTGACATTATTTCAATTATCAAACATTTTCGTAACGTTTTTCTAGGCAACAAGTTATCTTCTTATGGAGGAGAATTGAGATATACTATTTATTACGAGTTACCTACCAATAGTACTCAGTCATCTCCGATCAAAGATATTGATGTTATTTTGGAGGTTAGACTTTTGATTTTTTATGATAATTTAGATTATGATTAAATATGATATTGAACTTTCCATATTTTGTTCAGGGTAATGGAATATCTTTGGAATTCAGTCGCCAAAGAGAAGTGCAATCTTACGTCAGTACTCCTTTCGTCGTACCTTTTAAAGAAGGTACAGGCTGGATGGAGTCTAATTCAGGACGCTCCGCCACCAAAGACCAAATTCTCCAAGCACTGAGTGACGTCAAGAGACTTCTTATACGTGCATCTTATAATCGAAACGGGAACGCTGAATTCAGGTTTGTCATGAAGCAAGAGTATTTTAGTACAATTGAGAATTTCCAACGATTTAATGCTACTGATGTACGATTTAACGATGCCTATTAATTTTATTGGCAATATCAGTAATTCCACGATATCAGATCGAAAAATTAATAAATTTTTAAAAAAAGGTATACTTCATCGTGGAAAAATCGGTAATGACGTCCATTTACAAATAATGATATAAAACAATTATCGGCAAAAACATGACGTTTTTTATCCCATCTTATACTCAATCCCTTTTCACAGAATTCGGGATGTTAGTATGGATGTAGCGGCACCTGACGGCGAAGGAGAGCGAGTAACGTCTGTGGAGCAATGTCATTGTCCGCCGGGTTACGATGGAACTTCATGTGAAGATTGTGCAGAAGGTTACTTCAGGTATATATAAGAGAGCAACGCTCAAATATATGGACACGAATGTTAAATGATTAATATAACCGCCACCTAGTCGGCTCAATTTGAGCGAAATGTTAAAAGAATTGCGTTTAAAATTGTATGAGGGTGTGCCCGTGCATTACAGACACAAGAAAAATTTCAGTCGTTGCGCTTAAGACATGTTGCAGGTTTTTTCTTAACTCATGTGTATTCTATTTTTATTTACTTTCTTTATTATGCAGGAGCGGGCGTGAATGCATCAAATGCGAATGTAACGGTCGTTCCAAAACATGTAACCTGTATACCGGAGTTTGTGAGGTATTGATTTTATGTCATTTAAATAAGTATATCAATTGATTATATTTTTACTCAATATTTCAAATCTATATTTCTGTTTTTATTTTAGAAATGTGAAAACGGCACAATGGGTATGCGTTGTGAGCTTTGCCAGCCCGGTTATTACGAAGACACAGGAGGTGGTTGTATAAGGTATCATTTTATTTGGGTTTCTTTTTACCATATTTTACTATATTGGTTATTTACTAAATTGGGATAAAATTGTAATATTTAGATGCGCATGTCCTTTAGTGGAAGCATCGAATAACTTCAGTCCGACTTGCGTTTTGGATGAGTTCGACAATGTTGTACACTGCTTGAACTGCCCTACTGGATATGAAGGTCTTCAGTGCGAAAGGTAATATAAATATAGATGTTTAACTATATTTGACTGTCATTGTATTTGAAACGACGTATATGTTCCTTTTGCAGATGTGCGGATAGTTATTATGGAGATCCTACCTCCATTGGTGATGTATGTAAGCGTTGTGAATGTAATGGAAATGCTTATACGTGCGGCAAAAGTACTGGTGAATGTATTGCATGTCGTGGTAATACGGCTGGTCGCCACTGTGAACAATGTGCAAATGGTGAGTTGGATTATAAAATAAACAATATAGATAGATAGTGCGATTCTCAGGAACCTTTTTGGTAGTTCAAGTATATTTTGTTATGTTCAGGTTTTTATGGTGACCCGATTATCCGGAAAAATTGCACCTCTTGCCGATGTGATCTTGATGGAGCCGTTTCCCGTCAATGTGACCCCGTTACGGGTCAATGCCCATGTCGTCCAGATGTATTTGGCAAAAGGTGCGATACATGTCAGGTATGGTATTAATACTTAACTCCATATAAATATATTTGTTACTCTATTATAAAACTAGATTTTTTTTTCTGTAGGAAGGTCAATATTTGGATCGCACTCGGAAAATTTGCGCACCCTGCTTGTGTGACGCACAAGGGTCACTCGGAAGTGGGTGTGGTGTTACGGGTGATTGCGTTTGCAAAGTAGGCGTGGTCGGAATGAAATGTGACCAGTGCAGTGTTGGATATTTTGATTTTGGTAACGATGGATGTAAAGAATGCGACTGCCCACAAACGAATCAACATTGTGATCCTGTGACAGGAGCATGTGTCTGCCCTCCACATACAACTGGGCCAGGATGTACTCTGTGTACACCGAATGCATATGGGTGGCACACTAATAAAGGTTGCAAGGTAACTATTGATCAAACTGTTTCAATATTCAACTAATAAAATCTCCTTTGGCTTGCACAATTGCAGCAGTCTGACGTCTGCAAGTGTCCTGGGATGTCAAACCATTTTTATTGTGAAACATTTTTAAAATCTTTAGCTGCCTAAATACATTATCAAGTAAGATCATGCTTGGAATATCCTGTTTTTATGCGTGGATATCATTGTTTGATTCTTCGTTTAAATAGGAATGCAACTGTCATGGCGTTGGATCAAAATCAAGTCAATGTGATGAGTTTACAGGGGAATGTGATTGCAAAGACGAATACACAGGAAAGCAATGTAATGCTTGCAGGTATGCAACAATGTTTTTCATTTGGTATTTTGTTTTTAAAAGAATATGGTGAAAAAAGGGTCGTGGACTCACTCAGAAGTAAACGGGACTTATTTCTAAGCAGAGTTACGGTGCACCAAATGCCAAGAGTTGAGTAGGAATCTTGGTATAAACATTCACGTAATATATTGTTATCGCAAATTGAATCCAATAAGATTTTTTCTTTATTTAGTGATGGATTCTACGACTTTCCAAATTGCCTTCCTTGCGTTTGCAATTTACCGGGGACAGTGTCATCTTCTTGCCAAAACAACACTGGCATATGCACATGCAGTAACGCTGGACAATGTCAATGCAAGAAAAATGTTGTTGGGGTAAAATGTAATAGATGTGCTGAGGGCACCTTCTCGCTTCTACGAGACAACCCAAAAGGATGTACAGATTGTTATTGCTCCGGCGTTACTGACGAATGCACTCAAGCTGTTTATCACTGGGGAGACGCAGTAAGTTATAATTTATTTGTATTTTGTTTTGTTGTTAAATTAACCAAATGATAGTACGATTTTCAAAACATGAAGATATAGACTTATACTTACTTACCATTCGTAATGGTTAATATGATCGAATTCCCAATTTAACTCAGCTAAGGTGAAATTTAAGTATGTTGGAAACACGTTTAACATTTTAACAGATTACATTAGACGAAAATTCAAAGCAAAGGTTAAAGTCATTGATTCTGACATTGGAAAATTGATGCTTTTATTTTCAACTCCGGTTGACAAGTTACCGCTTCAAAAACTTTTGTTTCGGTTTCAGTTTGTTATTCATTTATTCATAGTCACAATAAATGGAATTATTACCTGTAATGTTATTTGCACATTTTAGGGAGTTCTTTATTTTTTTTTTTGACGGTTTTGTTCGTTTTAGCAAGAATTTTTTTGGGTCGTGTTGTCTGACACTTTTGATTTTTTCAATTTTCCATGTCGGCATTTGATTTTAAAATTGTTTATATGTCGTGGAAATGAGATTTAAGCATTAGTGTCCGATTTGGACAAAGCCCCTTTGTCGGCACGTAATGGGTACTTTAAAATGGGTCAATCTAAATGGGTGTGGTTGACTGTGCTTTAATTATAATTCTCTGATATTTTGCTCTTACTTCGTCAAGCAACCATGAGTAGTGAATAATAGGACCCTATTTTATTTCGACTCAAGCTTGACAGAACGTATATACGCCTTGATCTTTTAGGAAACCATCCAATTTTTTTCTATTTTCTGGGCACAATAAAAATTAATTTCTTGCTCAAATTTGCAGCCCGAGCGAAATCGAGGCATTTCCGCCGCTTTATTATACATTTTCCTCCGCAAAAATGCACTATTCGACACCGTTCTTCATCTTACCCCGCACGCCATCTTCGCTCAAATTGGAACGCTTACGTCATATCTAGAACGAAAATAACAAAAAACCGGAAACAATTTATCGGTACACCAAAGAGGCTTTGAAATTGTTCTTAGATTAGTTTTAGTGGACTTAGCACACGCGCGCGTAAATTGCTCTCGAGCGTGAAGTGGCCGTGACCGAACTCGACATGGGAAAGTGCTAAACTGAAAACATTTGGATGTGATAATTGTTTTTGACATGTACGTCATTTCTGTGAAAAATATGAAAGCACTTTCGCTTTTTTCAGTTTAATTTTTTGTTTCATAACCTGTATGATTGACTCAGTCATCGATCAATTGAAAATCAGTTGTTTTCGTCAGCCATTATTCAGTTCTTGTCTTTATATATACCAGGAGTAAACCGAAGAGTTTCGCAAAAAAACCTACTAAATGTGTGATCATTTTTGAAGTAGGCTACATATTTCGGCATCTAAATGGTCTAATTGTAAAAGCAAATTGTGGATTTTATCAACCAATTGGTGTTCCTTTTCTATCATAAGTTGAATCCACACAATCACACATCAGTACATCTACATAATCAAGATCTATCAGGATTGAGGTCTTAATTCGTCATGTGCATGATTGTGGCACATCTAGCCTCTAGTAGTTTATCGCTTTATCACGATAGCCTTTGCTACTGATCAGGCAGAATTATTTTGATCATTTATTTTAAATTTACACCTTTTTGTCATCATGCATAGATTGCACTTAGAGACCCAATGGAATTAGTGGTGAGAATATCATTTGAATTAAAATTGAATTGCTTATGATTGGAGGAAATGCAATATTACCAACCAATCGCTTAACCGCCACCTGCTTAGCCTACTTACTGCCTGCAATTATATAAAAAAAATCGCCCAATTTTGAAACACAAATTGACTGGCGGGCGCAATCATGTTTTGAAGGAAATATGTACACAGCTAACTCATAGTATCACTGCTAAAATATATAAAAAAAAAACATAACTTATTTTTTAAAGTACTTATAGAATATGGACACAATAAAGTTCTAACACGCGACAATTACATTTTTAGTAAATTACTATACAATTCATATACGTAACTCATCTTTTTGTGCAGTTTTCAATGTTAATTTTGTTATATTAATTTGGAGGAGCTTTACTAACGTTTCTATTTGGCTCAAATGGCAAAGTTTGATTATTTTTACTGTGTAGTTATTAATTTCGTTCATATTTAATACCGTTATCATGGGTTAATTAAAGCGTAATCAGAATGGCTTCCTGGAATATTTTTACAATTTTTTTGTTACAATTATCCATACTTTGCTGTTTTTTAATCCTTCTTTAAGTGTTTAAATATACTTCATTTTTAGTCTTCGTGATTCAATAATTTTAAAATATTATTGCAACATGAACAATCGAAGTGCGTAATCATTTCATATCAAACCACGAAACTTGCAGTTTCCTTTTTGCATTACAATATTTCAAATAATAATAGTAAATTAATCTGATATCGATAAATTTTACTATTGTGTTGTTTATTAACAGTTATCGTTAAAGAAATTCAAACCAACTCATTCTAATGCTTCAGGTATCACTCTCTGTTGGGTCTCAAGTCATGGTCGCCAATCAAGTCAATACAAGATCCACAAGCGAAGGTGTGATTATGACGAAAAATGCCGGAACGGTTTCAATGGATCCTGGTATAGTACGCAGAACAATGAGATATGAACCGTATTACTGGAGACTCCCGCCTCAATTCAGTGGAGATAAGGTGATTGGTTGTTAGCTTAATAATGTCGCATTCCAGAATGCGTTAATATTGGACACGAAATGGACATATGGATCGCTTTTCTCTTCGATTACTGAACCAATTGCTTTGAAATTTCCAGTGATGATGACGTCATCAAAATTAAAATTGCGTACCGTGGTTCCGTGACCACATCTCGGTGGTGGTCAGACTACCGGTACTGTAAAAGATTTGATACTACCTTGTTTCTGTTTTCGTGTTCATATATTTGAAATTGAAACATTTTTGAGTTTATAGTAATACTTGCTTTTTGCGTCATCAGCTGACGTCATACAATGGGTTCTTGAGATTCAAGATATTCTATTCGGCTGCGATCGGAGATTCGGTACATAAAGATGCTCCAACAGTCGTAATAAGAGGCCTACACAAAGCGACGACTATTGGTTATAAACTGGAAGAGCCTACCAATAACGTAGAAAGAGAATACGTACTAACAATGAGAGAGGTGAGATAATTAGACTAAACGATGAATACTGATTATTAATCATTAAAAACGCAAAGCGCAACTGTATTTTGAACCTGGACTTGAATGATGGGAAACATATATTTTAAATTTAAATTTTTGAAATTTTCAGGATGGTTGGACTTATCTTGATACAGATATTCCAGTCAGTCGGGATGATTTCGCTCTCACGTTGACTTACATTGACTTCTTTTTAATCAAGGCATCTTACGGACAACTAATGGACCAGTCACGGTAAGAAAAATACTGTGAATATGAACCCAAATTAAATTGAAAAAATGCAAATGTTGAGACATAAATTAATAATAATTTTCAACAAGTTTCCTTCATTTATTTCAGACTGAGCGATGTTTTTCTTGATGTTGCTGTAGAAGGTACTGGAGGTAGGGGTGACTCTTCGTCAAGTGGCCCTCCAGCTTTAGGTGTGGAAATATGCGAATGTCCACCCGGATACACAGGACTATCATGTCAGGTATGCTGAAAAGCGTGTTAAATGCTATAAATTATGATAATTTCATTCAATTGCGTATTTGCATCTTTCAAAACAAACAATTTTGCAATATATATATAATATAAATTCGAAGTTTTAATTTTCACCCCTATTTTTCCTAGATTTGTGATACAGGGTATATGCGAATACGTACTGGTAAATATCTGGGAGAATGTAGGCCCTGTGCCTGTAATGGAAAAAGCGATATTTGTGACGTCAACACTGGAACGTGTATAGTAAGTACTTGGTATATTGATTCGATGATAAGTCTGTGTAATTTGTAACATATATGCTTAAGTCAAGTCAAGTCAAGTCAAGTTTATTTTTTCCAACCAGTAAAAAACAAAAACAAAACAAAAACACATGCAAAAATATATAGAAAAAATGATATTTATACAACAATAATATAAAAATTGTAAGCCTAGTTTTATGGGACTTTCTCCATACATGGTATAATTTTATCACCATCGTTTTAAATACTTATTATTCCCAATATTTACTATGCTCTCTTTCCTTCCAGAGACCTTGTTCATTATGTGTCAATAAAAATATCAGTTTCCTAACTCTTATTGAAATTTGTACAACACTAAGTAACAATTGGTATTTCAGGGTTGCAAAGATAACTTCGTAGGAGACAGATGCGAGCAATGTGCCCTTGGATTTTACCTCACATCCGGTCCTTCTGGACCGGTGTGCAAGAAGTGCTTATGTCCATTGGGAAGTCCTGAAAATAATTTCAGTCCAACGTGTCATTCTGATGGTTCCGATGGATATAGATGTGATGCTTGCCCGGCTGGGTACACTGGTATACATTGCGAGCAGTAAGTAGAAATTTCTTCCTCTTCTACTGTCCTTCACAATTCATTCAAATATGTGATTCCGGGATAATATATATTTTTTCAGATGTTCTCCTGGTCATTTTGGGGATCCTATGTCACCAGGAGGATTTTGTCAAAAATGTGGATGCAATCCGTCCGGATCTACGAGCTTAGATTGTGATCGGATAACCGGAAAATGTAATTGCCAACCCGGTATAACCGGAAGAGTTTGTGATCAATGTAGACCAAGACACGCTATCACAGAAGATGGATGTATACGTAAGTGTTCTCTTCTCGTACAAAATGGAGTATTTTGTATTGGTTATACAGCAAGAAATATTAATAATTACCATAATTATTCACAATTAAAGTTTATAATTATTACATTTCTGTAATTTTACAAAATTGTCGGTGTTTAGCCTGCGACGATGAATGTTCCGGGAAATTATTGGAAGAAATTGAAGCCTTGACCACAACCACGCGAGCAGTTGACTTGAACAATTTGTTTCCACCTCCTTGGGATAGACTATTGAGAGCAGAGAATAAAACTCATAAATTACAAGTGAGTTTTCCTTCGTCAACCTTTTTATCATTTGTATTGACGCCGTCTCTTGATTTCTTCAAAAGTAGAGACAGGAAATATATCAGCTTACTCTGGAGCTCACAAACGTTTAGTCCGAGTCGAGGCGGTTTACTGATCTTTACGTGTTTGTCTTTTCGTTAATTCAATTTCTCTTCCTTTTCTCACTTGCAATTATCTCACTGCACTTCTTTGACTGCACTCTTCTATTTTCTTTTGAGTAGAGACAGTAAATATATGAGCTTAGCTCATGAGCTTACTTTGAAGTTCGCACCGTTTACTTCTCTTTCACGTGTTTGATTTTTTCTTCAATTCAAATTATCTCTTTTTTTCACTCTTGCATCTATCTTACTGCACTTCTTTGACTGCACTCTTCTTTATGCTCACTCTCTTCTTTGCTCCTCGGACACGGCGCAGCCTTTTTTGAAGATTCTCCTTCACCGAAGGAGAGAATTCGAGGTCTATAGATGTCGAATGCTCAAGGTATATTTTTTCGTCTTCTCACTAAATATTGAGAAATGGTTGAATTTCAATACCACAGTATACTCATTGTTTTAATATTTTGCTTTATATGTTTTAGGGTTTCATGGACGAAGCATTGACCAACGCTATTGACACCGTTACAGTGGTGACCGAACTTAAACCTGAATTACAAAAACTCAATTCAACATTAGACAAAGCTGTAGATCAGGCAAGTATAATAATTTTTTCAATATGATTTTTACTGTGTAAAAGTATCGGAATTTGTTACATTATATATATACCGATGCAGGCTATTTATTGACAATTTATATATTTTTTACAGTCGAAAATGTGCTATCTGGATGGCGAAGACGTCGTTTACCAAGCAAATCGCACGCATCATAAAGTACAAAAGCGAAAAGAAAAAATTGAAGGAACAATCAAAAACATCGATGAATTATCAGGTCGTTTGCGACGTCTGTTAGAACGACTTCAAAACGGGACAGTGATAGACGATTCCGAGATTGTTGTTGGAATTGCAGAACTTATAACTCAATTAAGAAATAGAGATCTGTCAAAATACAAGGATGTAGCAGATGAAGAACTAAGGTATTGAAGTCAAAATAATGTCATACAAAAACGTTTTGGACCCATATGACGTCATATGGGGAAATTCGATTTTGTATTTGTCTGTGATTAGAAATATACTATATAGCGCTATACGGGGATTTATGCCATAGCAGAGCTTATCACCAACAACGTACACATCATGTTGAGTCATGGTGGCGTCCTGTTGAGTGTGGACAACTCACAATTGTGAGCGTTTATATCACTCAGTTTCGCGATAGTTAAGCTAGGTATTTAATCTTCAAAGGTAAATTCACAACTTTATATTCAGGTTGGCTGATGAACTTATGGATAGAGTAATTGAAAAATTTACCAATACCTCCAATGACGTCATCAATCGTTATAATCAATCAAAACAGAAGATTGCAGAAAAGATTCACGACGCGTTAGACAAATTAGAGGATTTATTACAGAAGGCTTTAGCTGCGAGAACAATTGCCATGGAAGTCGACAAAATGAATAATATGAACAACCAAACAATCAGACAACTAAAGGTAAATTATAACCGCATCAACTGCCCTTACAGAGCCCTATTAGTTGATAGGCACCGAAACTATTATTTGTGAGATTAAACGGCCGGGTATATAGCTAACAACACGGCCCAACTATGTTTATTTAGTAGATTTCAGGGTGCAATATTTCGGGCAGGCTATGTTCGACCCACAAGGCTCCTCACATTGTAACTGCCTATGGCGACGTGCCCTATTTCATTCACAGTTTAACATTATTGATTATACGCGTGGTAATAGTTTGCATATGTAGTTAGGGACTATTATTTTATTGTGACTCTTGATATAACAGATAATTCAAATTTTTTTACATTTATTTTATTATAACAGGCAGACATTGAAAGGTTAGAAAACGAAGTTGTCATGGTTGAAATAATTTTGAAAGACACACGAAGAGTTATAAATGAAACAGAAAATGCAATCAGGAGAACTGCAAATTTTATAGAGGTAATTTTAAAATTTTATTTTACGTAATTTATTGCTGATTATTCCTGCAAATTAATATGCTATTTATTAACACAGGATCTCAAAATGAGAGGGGACAAGTTGCGCCAAATGCTTCAGGAGTTGATGAGAGAATCAGATAAAATAGCAATGGTACAGGATCAATTGATTTTGTTGAAATTACTTGTAAAGCAAGCACGGGAACACGAAAGAGAATTGGTTGAATTAGCAGACTATTTTCAAAAGTAAGTTCTAAAGCAATGCAAAATTGAATTCAACAAATTCATGATTCATTTGCAATTATTTCGAATAAATAATAGGACTGAGCTATTTGAAATAAATATCCGAATCGTATCGTAAATTATTCAAATCGGTTCGAACGACATTTCGAATCGCCGTCCTCTCGTTTTTTATTTTCCGCAAAAGATCGAATTGAATCCCTAAATTTTTTTATTGAGGCAATACTTTTACAATTCAGTTTTGACATACGACTCTTTTCCTACTAGTGAGTTATTGATTAAACATGTTTTTTTTATCGTTTGTGAATACGCAGAGTGATGAATGTTATGTTTTCAGTAATTTTTGTGCATGGAGAACCCATTAAAATAAAAATAAAAGTCATATACGATTGAATATCGTCCAAGTATTCGAGATTCGATTTGATTCGAAAAAATATTTTAAAATTCTGAAATCATCAGGTATTCGAAAATGCCCAGCCCTAGTTCTTAATTTGCGCATTCTCTCAGTGATGTTATTCTAGTTAATAAGACGTTAGTATATTTCATTATTGTATGAGCTAGAATATTTATCTTATTGTGTTTAGGGTATATAACAATATAAGTGGGACTTCATTTAATCAAACGGATGCTGCTACAAGATATCCCAGAATTGTGGAAATTATGAACAAAGCTAATAAAACTGCCTACGATGCATTGGGATTATCTATGGATGCGACTGAATTGGTAAGAGAATGCTTTCTAGTTATTTTGTTAATCTTTAAAATTGTATGATAATAATATTATGTTTTTAAATAATAGGGAAAAGGTAATCTGAACGAAAGGGCAGAAGCTGCTCTCGACAGCGCAATGGATTTGGTCAACGAAGTATCTAATATGAAAGACACAATTAAAAGTATGTTACGTTTCTAAGCTTTTTTGACCTAATTTCTTATCAGCTTGAGAACATTTTTAAATTTGTATTGTGAATAATGCAGGTGAAAAGCAAAAGCTACGTCAGGTGAAGAATCAAACTAGAGTTGCTAACATTACCGCAAGCGATTTAGAAAAGAAATTCAACAAAATCAAAAAATCAATCAACAAACTGAATACAGGTAACACTTTGAGAATTAAAATGCCTCTTAACGCAAATATACAGCTATCGTTTTTTACTTATCATTTCTGTAAATTTTTTAGACATGTCTCCAAACCCTAATGACGTCATCGAGAAGGCTGAGAAGACAAATGCTATGTCCGATGAAGTTATGGCCGCAGCAATGGAATTGGAAAAAAAAGTAAATGATCTGGAAAATGCTGTTGAAATCGCAAACAACTATTCTGACGTCATAAAAGAAATAAGAGATAACCGTAAGCTGGTTTCTGGTCTTTCTGTTATAAACTTTCTCTCATTTTTCTTAACCCCTTTTCTTCTTTTTCAAAACTATCTTCTCTCGTTTACCTTCTTCTCTTCGATCTCGTTTCTTCATTTCAAGCATTCTGGGGTATGTTAATTATTTATTTTTAAACATCCGACCAGACATGTGTCGTAGATAAATCCACCAACTTATCTATGGCATATGTATTGTTAGTGTTTATTTTTAAACATATTTTATACGTTATTATAGTTGAAAGCGTACCGGACGTACTAAAAAAAGCCAACGACAAAGTTGCAGAAGGGAAGTTGAAACAGAATAAAAATGAAATGAAAAGCGATGAAGTCCGTTCGAGAATTGATGATCTAAGGAAACAAATTGAAGAAACGCGAATGAAAGCTGCATCAGTACGTCAGCTTTATATTTGTACTTTATTAAAGAACACCACTCTTTAATTTCCAAATCATGCAAATATTTTTCCAAACACGACATTTGTTTAAAAGTTTTCAATTTATTTACTCATATTTAGAATTCATAAAATATCATGCAGGAAGACTAAAGTTCAGCCCATTTTGAGAAATAACTATTGGCAAATAGGCAATTTAAATTTTCTACAAATACATTCACAAACAAATGGGCATTGCATTCCAATCGGAATACGGAATTCGATCTTTTGATTTTTTAAATGAAAGCGCACTTTCTTTATTATTTAATAATATACACGTATCTACTTTCACTTTTAGATACGAAAAGCTTCAGTCAAATCGGAAGGCCTATGTACAATGAGGTATTTGCCTAGAGTTGCACCTGGACGGATTACTGATATTGTGTTGCAATTCATGTCAGTGAACACGAACAACACACTTTTCTACATGGGAAGGGATGAGGTAATTCAATAACTTTGTCTGTCTCTCTGTCGTTCTGTCTTAATGTTGTTTGTGAATTTAATATATGATATCGTGTTGCAAACATGGCAGTGGATACAAAAAACACACTTTTCTACATGAGAAGATATGACGTTATTCAATAATTTTGTCTGTCCGTCTGTCGGTCTGTCTTACTGTTAATTAATTGTATGTTTAACATATGTTTACTTTTTAGGCTGACTACATTCTAATTCAAACAATTAACGGATACATTCATGTCACTTGGGATTTGGGAAGTGGGAAAGGAGAAATCTTAAACCCAGTCGACGTCACGAAGAATCCACTCCTTGAAAAAGATTGGTTCCGAGTTGAAATAAGCCGGTGAGAAATGAAGTTTCCTTTCTGTTTTTATTTTTGCATTGCTCCGAGCGAACAGTGTGAAAACTTTCTCTATTTCGACAGGCTTGATAGCGACATGAATGTGACAGTATACCAAATGATCGACAAGGACGGAACCGAAGTTACAATCCCCGGTACGAGTCCTGGTGAATCATTCAGCTTGGACATTGACGAGAGAGATAACTTATACATCGGAGGTGTTCCACAAACAGTAAAAGTAAGTATAATCCTCTCTAAAATATTTGTTGAAATGGTTGCAGTTTAAAGCCTTACAAATATATTTTTACTTAGCTCCCAGATACCGTGCCTGTTCGATCATTTACTGGATGCATGGGTGAAGCAACATTACAAAAGAAACTGGTGGGAATGTGGAATTTTAGAGAAGTCAGCGATCCATCTCACTGCGATGGCTGCTTTGCAAGGTAAGCTTCATATAAACATGTATACAATCCCTCACTTTAATTGATTCAATATTGATAAATTAAACTACCAGTTATTACTTTAAATCTTAATCTATAGTCCACAAGACAAACCGAGTACTTCACCAACAGTATATGGATTCAACGGGGAGAGCTATACCGTTCTTCAAGAACCTTTGTCTGCGCGTGGTAGCAACCATCTCACCTTACTAGATTTTGAATTCAAGACCTTTAGTACCAAAGGCTTACTGCTATATAAAGGATCTTCGATAACGGTAAGATAATGAATAAAAGTTTTCTATATGGTAATTGTGTTGAATTGGTTATCCACAATGTTATTTGAAGTTTTTCATCATTACATGTAAACTTGTCTTCAGTGAAGTGATTCAAAATTAAAAGAGTTAAGACTTCTGTGCACCATTTTTTTTGTTGTCGTTTCTGTATTAAGTTGCAAAAGAGAACTTTTTTTATTACGTTCACAAAACAACATTTTTTACTCAAAAATAATTCTCCTTTTTTGTAAAAATTTAGAATGATTTTGCTTCGGTTGAATTGGTCGATGGAAGAATTGTGGCAAGAATAAATCTTGGCAATGGAATGCATATACTGACTACAGAAAAGAGATACAATACCGGAAAATGGATTAAGACGTTTTTCAGAAGACTGCAGGGAAAAGGTAAGAAGAGAAAGCAAATGAATTTTAATTGCTATTACATGATGTAATAGGACAACAACAACGCAATAATTTGTTTACGATTCGTCAATTTTCTTTTCAATTTACGGATCAGGGCGGCTTATCTGGAATCCAGCCCAATGCTACTCGAATCATTACAGAAATATATATTTCAACACTCTTGAATCGCGTAGAATAGTTATGTTCACTTTTGCTTCACCATTCAGATACATCAGCACAGAAGTATATAAGCAGTTGGTACCACATAAACGTAATTGATAGCACAAACGTAATATTTACCAATATATAAAATAAGACATGAACAGTTGGCTTTCCAAGTCTCAATTTTTTAGGCCCTTTCACATGAAAAACAACAAAATAGACTTCCATGGTTCATATTACAAATAAGTATGTAAAATGACTGCTTTTCAATGATATTGAAGGTCAAACATTTTTATCAAAATATTTGGAATCTTTATTTTCAGTACAACTCATCGCACGATCATCTGCAACCGAAGTCGAAATGCTAAAACTCCAAATAAACGGAAGTGATGGTCTTTTGAATATGACCTCTACTGACCTAACTTGCATTGGTGGTTGCCCTTCTCAAATCGTTCTGACGTAAGTATTTTAATGACGTCTTTTAAACTTCTTAATATACTTTACATAGTTTAGTAGATGTAAATATATGCCATGTACGTATATGGGAGTCCTAATTGAATCGTAACAAAATGATCGATTAAAATAATGAATATAGGAAATTGACAGCTTTCAATATTGACTTTTATTGTCACCGTTTATGAATAAAATATAACTTAATCGCTACCTTGTTATGTTCATAAATTACAAACTTTTCAAATCGTTAGAATATTTTTTCCGTATGGGAATGCATGCATTTGATTCCTACATGTTTTTTATAATATGTTGTCATGTTCACTCACTTTTGTCATAAAATCCATATTTTTATGTTCATAACAGCCATATCTTCAACTATTACCTAAGGTATCCAGTGTGACAGTAGAATGAATATTAGCATCCTAACTCACTTTTTAAAGTGCATTTTAGATCAACTTATGTGTGGTGTAGAATATAAAACAAAAACTTATATATACGATCTTAAGCATGTATTTGGATTATGCATTGTAGCACGTGTTTAATAGTTTGATTTTCAATAAATTACTTTGAATTGTTTGCTACCGATATTTTTATTTTTAATTGTGTATATGAAAGCTTTTTTAAACTTATTTCAAATTAATCAGTTTACATTTTCATGACTTTCTACTATCTGTTTCTAAATACTCATTAATGTGTAAAAAAATCACATGCGGAAATAAATAAAGTAAGACTTTAGACCAACCAGTATTTATAGCAGCCAGGAATGTAATTATTTGCGTGTATTACAACTGAAATCTTACATTCGTTTCGAATTACTACCATTTTGCACCAGTAAATTGTATACTTAGCCATGCTTTATTTATTCAACAGCACCCCTGTTCAAGAAACTGGCTTTGTTGGATGCATGAAAGGCTTATCGGTGTTTGGAGTCGTTCAACCGCTATCCGGTTCCGGAAACAACGTGCTCCGGTTTTCACAAGTTGATACAACCTGCCCAGCAGAGGTTTGTAGTCTTTTATTTATTAAATCAAGTTTCATTTCTTTTAACTTACCAAGATCGTCCTAATGAATGACAATGAATTATAGGTATCACGTGACATTGGCATCGACGACGATGGATTTGTTGAACTTAACGGTCACAATCTTCCAACTACTGGATCGGTGTCTATTACATTTAATTCAATGGAACCGGATGCTTTGTTGCTATTGGCAACCGATGACGTCACTTCAAGAAGGAAACGAAGACGAAGACAGTCAAATAACGTAAGTAAATATTGTTTTCAAAAATACAATTCTTTGTTGAAAACCACGATTTTTATTCAATAAATAATTTAATTTTTTTCCAGAATTTCTATTCTCTTTCTCTCAACGCTGGTCACGTAGAAGCTCGTCTCAGAACTTCAAACGGGTCGCCCCTCATATTGAGATCAAAATCGAGTATATATTCCGACGGAGACGAACATACCGCACAAATACGAAGAGAAAACGAAGTGTAAGCAGAAACTTTATTCATGTGATTCTTTGTGTTTTTGGCTTTTGGAAGCCCTGATGCTCACGGCATATAAGTTAGGCTAGGAAGGCCTATCGTTCTTAAATAGGGAAAGACTGCTGGGAAAGCTGCCCAAAATGATCGAATATATATATTTTCAGAATCCAGCTTATTATAGATGATAGAATAATGATGGCAGTTAGTGGAACGTTGCCTAAAGGAGGAGGATCTATCCTTTCTGTTAGCCGTATTTACGTTGGTGGACTTCCAAAAATGTTTGAAATTAAAGATATGGCGCAGACGAATTCATCCCTAAACGGCTGTATACGGGAACTTGTTACAGATAGGTATGATATGTTCCTAATTGGACCGGTGGGTCTTTTTATTATTATTTTTCTTGGTGTTGTGATATTCTCCGTAATTAGTGGATCTTTTGAGTTTTCCGTATTGTAAGATGTGAGAAACATTTTAACTCATTTTCAACTCTCTCTGAGTCGTATGGCGCTTGATATTTTACTCTAAATTTGGCTGTTTTTACGTACACACCTTTATATTACATTCAGTAAAATTAGTATTTCATATTGAAAGTACAATATTAGTCGTTTTGGCTTCGGGCATTACTCTTGTGTGTTCATGGTCATCATATTTATACTTTAATATTGCGTCTAATACTTTTCACATTCGTATTCAGACTTGTTGATTTCAATGAAGCAGTCCAAGTTTCCAATTCGTATTTTGGTACTTGCGTCTATACCCAAACTGCAGCTCTAATTTTGCCACCAGTGGTTGTTCCTACTCCACCAACAACGGAGACCAGAACACGTATTCAAATCCGATCGACCACACCCTCAGTCACACCCTCGGCTTTACAAACGGTTACTATACCACCGACAGTGGCAAGAACCACGGTAAGCGATGAAGTAAGATTTTATTATGATTACAATTACAGCTTCTTTACTTCAACCGCTAAGTTAACCCCATTCTTTGTCCAACTTAGGCGACAACGGGCTGCGTACCACAAGGAGATTTGCCTGTATTGAAAGGCACTACAGTAAAATTTGGACGAAGTGCTCACAGTCATATGCAATTTGCATTTGATGACAACATTGAAGCCAAGTAAGTTATTTTAATTAGTATCTCTTTACTTATTTTTCAGTATCATTGTTTTGCATCCATCTTTTCTATTTGTGTCGATGGTTTGTCCATATCATAATTTTTTGGCATTTCCGTCTATTTTCTATGTATTGTTTTCTTCTTGGTGAAAACTCGAGGAACCGTTCCATCCATACAACGTAGCGTACTTTATGATTAGACTCTGGTAAGATAAATTCTTCTTTTTTACAGGTTTCGTGTGCAAATCGAATTCCGAACTTTCGCTTCGGATGGTGTTTTACTCTACGCGTCAAGTGATGAATATTCAGACTTCTTTTCTCTTCAACTGAAAAACGGGAAACCAGTATTTAGATTTGATAGCGGAAAAGGAGCTGGAGAAACATCTGGAAATTTTTCAGTGAACGATGGGAAATGGCACACGGTTAATATATCTTCAATATATCGTAGAATTATGAGAAATTATCGGGTATGGGAAATGAGGACAATCATTTGACATTACAGGACCAATGTATCGAGGGGTAAATGTAGGTTATTCAGCAACTAAGAAATACCCAAACGATTCACATTTTATCACCAAAATGATTGGAAAATCGTCTGTCAGGTATCCCACTGCACTCCCACTGGTGGGGAACTTTTCTCTCGATAAATTTCGTTCTGAAGATTTATTCGCTGGGAAATTTTATCGCATAAAATATTTTTAGTAGCAGTTATCAAATATGCAGATCTTTGTTAATTTTATGTTTTTTAAACAAATTTATCTCAAACGTTTAATTTTTTATTATTTATTTTCTGCTTTCTCGCTCATAGGTTCGAATTGCGAGATCAAAACGCAAAGGTTGTATAAAGGTTGACAATATGAGATACAGAATCGCAAAGTCACCACACGGTAAAAATAGAATGGACGTCACAAAGATTCTTTATATTGGTGGAATCCCCGCAGATATCGACTCCAGCAAATTGTCAGGAGTAAGTATTTTGTTTATTATATAAAGCTGGCAATTTCGAATACCTGATGATGTCAGAATCTAATCGAATATTTTTTTCGAATCGAATCAAATCTCAAATGCTCGGAAAATTTGTAATTTTAATATAATGGGTCTTCCAGACACATAAATTACTGAAAACATGGAATCTATCACTGAGACAGTTCGTTGACTGTTCACATAGAATGTGTAACATATTACATTAATAACTTACTAGGAAGAAGAGAGTCATATTTCAGAATTGCATTTTAAAAATATGGCTTCAATGAAAAATTTAGGGACCTTTTGCGAAAAAAAAAATGGCGGCGATTCGGAGTTCTCGTCTAAACCGATTCGAATAATTTACTATTCAATTCGAAAATTCGATTTAAAATGCTCAGCCCTATAATAATACATTTGTAACTATACCGAGCTAGTTGGACTCTCCATCGCCACCTGTTGATTGATTATTTATCATTTATGATGTCATAATTTGTAGATGTGGCAGAGTGTTGATACCTGTGTGCGGAGTGTTTCATTGAATAAGAATAAGTTGGATCTCCGAAAACCATCCATGTCAAATAACGTTGGACAGTGTCATGAATATGTTGAGAAAGGAGCATACTTTGATGGATCCGGATATGCTGTTTACAGTGAGTAGAATTATTTACATTTGTCTCGCCGACTCAGCGATTCTCCCTATATTTTAGTATGGCAAATGTTTTGACGCCTATTTACATTTTGTTTTGTTGAGTTGGAGCTTAAAATATAATTTAAATGTCCAAAACCATCATTTATCATGAAAATCTTCAACTACGTGTCGTTTACAGATACTGATACCTACTTTTAGCCTGGTATATCGCAGCTTTTGCAAACTAATTTTTGACCATTTCAACCAAACTAAAGCTCCTCGTAAGACATAATGACTACTCAGTTATTTAATTTATGATTTTTGGATACGCAACTGAAAACTGACAAATAATATGCAAAACCACTAAAACGAGACAATGTTTACAACCATACTTCAATAACCGTCTGAGCTACAGAAGTGTCCGGGCGGCTACACAAATTGTAATTGTTATGTCATTTTCGACGTATTGCTGATTGGTTAAGGTTACCAAAATTAACCCAATTAGTATTATCTTAACGAAGTCTAATTTGAAATGAATCTGTCTCTTTAAGATAATGAGTATCGGGTTGGACCAGTTATGTCAATCGAGTTGGAATTCCGAACGTGGTCGAGAGACGGAGTTCTTGTAACAATTTCAGATAGCTCAAGAAGCGATGGCCTGGCTTTGGAAATTGTTAATGGCACGGTAAGTTTTTTTTTTATCCTAACACAAGTGATCAGTTAGGTCCTTTTTTAAGTATAATACTAAAAACCTTTTCTTGCATTCAGATTTACTTTCGCGTTAACAACGGAGCGGGCAATATTTATACTCAATACACACCAAAACTAAATATTCCTAACGTTGCCCTTTGTGATGGAAACTGGCATAAATTGAAGGCGACCAAATCGAAAAATCTTCTCACTCTTACTGTGGACGATCGAGTTTCAACGGATCCAGGAACTCCAATGGGCGATCAGAAATCTGCTGATACAAAAGATCCACTTTATATAGGCGGCTATCCAGGTTTGTATTTTTTGTTTGTTATTAAATAATATAGTACATATAAAAATAGATGTCTCTATTTACGTATTAATATGTGAAATACAATGAATCATATGTTGAAAATTAAAACACTTCTTCATGCTTCAAAATGAATTATAGTTTGAGTTGCATTTTATCTCTTTTCCGTGTTTGACAAAAGAAACATCTATTTTCAATACTCTTATTGTGTGTGTTTGAATTGTCGTTAGCGATAAGGCTCTTGGAAAAGAAAATTTTTACGTGTAAAAAACTAACTAACGTTCTTTTGACATCCATTCAATACTTGTATTGCAGATGATGCCCTTCAACAGAGACAAATCACCACTAAATTGAAATTCCGTGGATGCATTAGAAAAATGAAATTGAAAGGCCAAACAGTGGATTTCTCACTCGTTCACGAATACAGAAATATTTATCCAAATTCATGTCCGACGTCTAAGAGCTAAAACGCAGTAGTCGAGGCTTTCATATCAAGTGCACGACACAGGAATGGCTGGAAAAAAAACCGCCGCATCACTAAAGGTATTACTATACCAAGAAGATGGAGAAATGAAGCACTTGGAATATCACTCACGGGGATACTGAAAGTATCATACCACAACAATGCATTTAGCTTTTAATTATGTCATCGACCATCGTTTAACAAGGCATATGTGGAAAATCAGTTTAATTGTGTCATCTCCGCTTCTCAGTACTGATTGTACAACATTATTAAAGATGTAAATACGTGTTTTATTCGCCATATCTGGTGAAATATTATTCCAATGAAATCTTCAAATTCACTTTCTTATTTTTCACGTAGTGTATTTTCCAGAAACAGCATGCCGATACATATTTCACAATTCACCGGTTCGTGCATTTCCCACTATACTTCCGTTTATATAGCAACGATTTCTAAAATATCATCTCTCGTTTTTTGTAAACTCTCATATTCGTGAAATGTTTTCATGGCTCACGAGGTTGTCTTTTCATCATTTTCAATGCACTACCTCTTTATTCTTCATTCATTTCTTTGCTGTCATTATCACTAACATACATGAATTGAATGGAATTATGATGTAACACTTGGACACAAAATGGACGATGCATTGAACGTAGAGATGAAAAGCCCAGCACGGACGCATCATTCCAATGAACTAACTAAATCAGCATATTTCAGTATAATACATACGTAATGCTTGTAAATTTTGAAAGAATTTGTGCCTCTAAGCGTTTTGTTCTAGTTAGTTTCCTTTTATTTCATTTTTATCACTTATTAAATAGATACTGTATTTTTTCAAGCACATGCCTTGTTAATTCAGCATATTCTATCAATTTTTTTTATTTATTTTTATACATTTTATATTTCTGTCATTTTTCATTACTATTTATCTTCTTAGAGAAATATGATTTCGATTTTGCCGGCTTTATGTTATTTGAATGCTATATTTATTTCACGTCATGGGGTGATGTCATGTTTACGTCAGCGATGGTAGCTAACATATATATCGGTATCAAGTCCATATGTGCCTTATTCTTACGAATATCGTTTAGAATGTTGTTATCTTTGCCATCGCACTGTGATTGGGTGTCGAAATCGGAAATAAAATGTCATTACGGAAACGTTATGTTCAATATACCTGATTCAGATCAAAAACACACAGGAATATTTCTTTGTATTTTGAGTCGAAATCGTAATTACTCGTCAGCTTAAAAGTGTGTAAGAAAATAGGTTTATTTTTTTTCAACGCCAATAATCAAGTCAGGGATGACACTTTCAGTGCGTCTGAGAACGTGATAATGAAATGTGGGTAACAAGCAAGACAAAGTATATCGCATTATATATCAAGGCACAGTGTATACGTTTGATTGAGGCATTGTTCGCAAGCTTGTAGACTCCGGTTTTGGCGGAGACACGAGAGATGGTAGGTTGTGAACCACTGGTTTAAAGCATTAGAAATAATTATGATTGTGGTGTTAGTGTTTCTTTACAGTGTTATTATTAGATAAACAATGTACTCATGATTACCCTAGTTCTGTCGTACTGTATTCTATACTGTCTGTGTGTTATTTTATTGTTTACAGTATTAAGTTGTGGAAGTGGTGTTCATATGTTTAATTGAGCCTAGAATGGGTATCCTGTTATCTTTCATAAAAATTTATTAAACATAAATTAACGAACCAACCACAATGGATAAAGTAGAAATTAGACACAGATCCCGATACCCGTGACACGGAATATGAATGGCTTCATTGGCAAAAGACCCTCGAAATTTTCTGGGAAGCTTTACCCACTGAAGGACTGGATAAATTGACAGTCGTCTTGACATTTCAGCGATGATACCACATTCAACATTGGCTACTATTCATGACAAACCATATACTCATGTTGGATACGTTCCGTCTACATTACGATAAGCCACTGCTTTGGTAGAGGTAGGTCAACGAAAAGTAAGAGCTTTGTTCGACAGTGGTAGTTCGGAAAATTATATTCACCCAGGGTTAGTAAAATCTCTCAGTCTCAACGTTCGCCCGATAAAGAATGTCATTTCCATGGCATCGTCTAAATGATCGTCTCCAGTAGAAGTTTTCGGATGCACTAAAATGGATTTATACTAAAATATTCATAGAAGTTTTCGGATGCACTAAAATGGATTTATACTAAAATATTCATGAATATTGCGTAGTTAAATTTGGTGGTTATGATCCTGGGACTCAATTTCCAAACTCTGCATGAAGTGTAAGATTTCACTAAGGTGGTAAAAAACTGGATTATTAATATGTGGTTTCTCGTTATTGAAAATACCCCACGTGAACCATTCAAGCCATCAACTGCGAACCGCGGCATCCTAGGTTATTGAATTCTTGGATTCACATTACACGGTCACCACAAACTAGGGTATGAAATGGTGATGTAGGAACAAAAAAATTCTGATTTTCCCATAAATAGTAGCTTAGGAAAGTTTTGAAAACAACTCACAAATAAAACGACAAATTATAATTACTCATCCTCATTTTCAGGCATGTTTGTAATCGGTTTAATCTTCAAGATGAGATCTGGTAGTTACTCCCTCGACATGTTCGACGGATACTCAACACTTCGGACTTTCAGTTTCTTGGATCTTCAAACTAGAGAAGTCAGTGCTTTATACTTTGTTTTCATTTTTGTATTGAACTTTGTTTAGAGCAAGACCATAAGCCAGGGGTGCGCAACCGTTATTAATACAGGAGGGGCAGATACAAATAACCGGGTGAAACCACATGTCGCACGTTTATTTAACACAAACTTTCTAGAGAATATTTCTGATTTTTACTTTATGTTTTTGCCGATACAAGGATGCCTAGTTGTGTAGGCCTCAACTAAATTGCATCACAGATTAAAATCTCATATCCACCACACCACTCTGGTGTCATGAATTTGGTAGACAATGCCACACCAGAAAGAATTCAGACCTTCAAACTAAAGTAAATCCTTATGAAGCAGTGGTAGATTGTGCGAAGACTTGTTCAGAGCAATACTCAAAACGAATATGAACAGGTCATGTAAAAAATATTGTTTTGACGAATAACCAGTCCACTTATTTTGCTTTTTTTTTTATTTTTTAGCTTCGAAAATGACATAGAGAGAATGCTTCATTCAAAGCCAGGATTGTATTGGAAAATATCATGGAAATATACTTGCCAATTATCATCGTCGTCATCCTGGTTGCAAGCTTTGTGGACATCTTCCTCAACCCTCAGAGTCACTACTCTTGAAACAAAGACTTATCCGCCATAGGCCGTGCTTATTATTGTATTATTGATAGAAGCTCGCGAGTCTCGTCTGTTTCGGAATTTTCTACCCGAAATGGCTCGATGCGAATCCTTACGGGAGAAAAAAAGAGCCGAACAGAATGATAATGATGAAATCGTAGTTACGGAATCTGCGACTCGATTGAATTTAAATTCGATATTTATTATCCACTTAAGTGGCATATTTTTTGTTAACTGAAATTTTTCTGATCTGTATTTATATCATCTTGGATCTGAAACAACTAACCGCTTATTCTCTCCCCCATACTAGCAATTAGACGAGGAACACCACCCCTCCTCTCTTACCCCTTAGAATCCTCCCACTTATATGGCGGCTCCCCGGCTCATTTAAGGGAGTCCCACTCCCCTCCCCCTATTTCAAACCGAGGTTTCAAACAAAATTGATTTTTACTTTGCGGCAGTTTGTGGGTTTCCAATCTATGACAAAATTCTGTAAAAATCAAACCGATCCCAACAGATTCACTACCTCTGATTTATATACTGTGCTTCTGTACCTTCAAATTTATTTTTCCATCTTTTATTGTACAATTTGTTTCGTATACGCATTTTTTTGCTCGGTTGAATTTGTTATTTATTCTCCTGTGTCTGTTTTCTATTGAAGCTTATTCTTATTTCACATTGAAATTTGTAATGTATTGTTTTTGTCTTGTTTTGATTGTTTTAAATGATTTTTTTTCTATGATTGGAACAAGATATCCATGCTAGAAGTCGTTAATATTTGAATCTGTTCATAATCATTCAAAACTTGATAATCTAGAATTCTTTGCAATCAGAAAATTGTACCTTGGCCTTTGGGTTTGATTAAAAATGCTAAATTTAGCTTGATTACACAAAATTTCACTCGCTTGTACAAAATTTTTTAGTTATTTTTCAAGCTCGACTTCGACTGTAGAATTCCGATTTTTTTATTGATTGCCAAATTATCCAAAGCTCATCTATAATTGTCGGATACTATTACTTTGGACTCCCAAGTGAAAGCTTTCGATTTTAATAATGAAAATTACAAATTTATGTTTAAAAATCAAAATCTACTTTATGAGAATTCTTTAAAACAATCTAGAATCCTTTAGAAAAGAATACAAGTTCAGTCAAAAATCTTAAATTGATCTCAGTCAAGATTTGTAAGCCTTTTATTCTTTTAATGAAAATTCTCACTCAAAGAAGTATTAATATACACAAGTATTTTGTAAAACTTATGAACGGCTTCCCTCAAATGTACACAATTTCTTATTCCAACTACGGTTATTTGTTTTATTGCCTTTTTCTTTTGAAGCTCTTTTTTTCTGTTTTACATTGAAATGTAGTGTCTGTTTTAATTTTATATATTTGTCGTCTGAATCAGTTTTGTCACAAATCTCAATCTAAAGCAGTGGTTCCTAAATTATTCAGGCCATTTCCTATGTGGTCCTTTTGAAAAGCCCTATGCAAGAATGACGACTTGCCAGGTGTCTTTTTAAGAGCATGGGTCAGACTTGGCATAAAATCAGTGCCCTGTCAAATCTGCACGTTCAGAAACTTCTTTGGGGCATAGTTTAGACCAAGCTAGAGCCCAAATTTGGGTTTTGTTTCGCTTATGTATCTACTTGTCTAAAACATTGCTCAGAAAACCAGTTTAGCAATAAGATTCATGGCATTATTTGGAGCAAAAGCTTAGCTCAACCGAAAACTTTATTACCTCCAAATTCTGATTTTTTTTTTATAATATCAACTTGTTCACAGCCTTGGTTTGAGCCCAGCAAGAGGCCCATGCCAAAACCCTATTATTTATGTGTTATGTTATTTTGTGTTTTGCTATCTGCTTGCCCCTCCCCCCCCCCTTTTTTTTTGAAATGTAAAAAATTATCATGACCAATTTTTCGTAGCTTGAAACGCTTTTTAAACCCCCAAGACTCATGTATTCTGGTCTTCGGTCAAAACCGCTCCCAGTTTCGGTCTAACTTCGGATACGAAACACCTTGAGGTGGCAATAAGTTCCCGTCCAATTATGGCCTATCAAGTGAAACCAATTTATTTGAAGCGATGTTGTGTTGATACTCAAAAATACACAATACCTCAACTTCACACAAAGTTCCCTGAAAAGTGCAAAAATATATTATTTATTTATAGAGGAAATTTAACGAAATATTAGAATTTTTGCTATTTTGTGTGCCTTGTATTTTATTAAATTTAAAAAATTAACTTTGTAATGCTTGTTTGTAAAGGAATCTGTAAATAAATTGAAAAAAAACGCGATTTTTGAGTGTTCTTGCTAAATTATGACGTCACCTTAGCGCTAGTTCCGCAGGAATGTCACCCTTAATGTTTTACACTGATATTATCGTGTTTCAAGCCTCCATATACCCCCAATGTAAGGCTCGGGAGCGATAAAAGATTATTCTGTGTGAGAGGAAAGGAGTTGAGACGATTTATCATGTTAAAATAAATATCTGAATCTGAATATAATTCAAAGCCTTTTGATTCAGTAATTATTTTACGAATAATAGGCTTGAGTTTTATACTCCCAAGTCCGTCCGCCATTTTAGACTAGAACAGGAATAACTCAAAAACACGTGGCCAAGTTAGGATTTATTATCACCCTTAATGTTTTACACTGATATTATCATATTTCAATACTCCATACATTCCAATGTAAGGCCCGGGAGCGATAAAAGATTATTCTGTGGGAGAGGAAAACAGTCCAGACGATTTATCATGTTGAAATATAATTTAAAGCCTTCTAATACAGTAATTATTTTACAATTAGTAAGCTTGAGCTTTATACTCCCAAGTTCTTCCGCCATTATTAGACCAGAACAAAGGGTAAGTAAAAACATGTGTCCAAGTTAGAATTTCTTATATATTTATCAATGTCTATCTAACAGCCAATCATAACGCGTATTTCAAGTCACGTGATCGGCGCAGAACCCTATCTGCCATGTTACAGCCATGCGCAGACGAACATCTCAACAGGAAGTCCAACCCCCTTGCCGGAAGTTCCTAATTGCCATGCGCACGAAAATACTCAACTCCCATTGGCTGATTCAAAATTTCTCTACCTGCGCAGTAGAGTACCGGTCATGTACTTGCCATGCGCGAGATTTTTCAAAAAATGACGGTTGCCAGATTTCAGAATTTCATTTTTGAACGGTCTGATTCAGAATCGGACCGTTCAAAAACAGTGAAATTTTGCGCATGGCAAGTACATGTCCGTTTTGGTATTGCGCAGGTCACGTGACTTCAGACTTTTCTGATTGGTCGATTTTTGTCCAATTGAAATATTCCTTTATTGTATTAGGAATTAAGAACCCCGCCCTTGTTACTATAAAGACAAGGAGAAAACTGCTAGCGTTTGATAGAATTCCCAGGTAGGTTACGTGAACTACACTTTCCGCTGAGATTGGGACACTTTAATTACTGACTACTAGTAGGCCATTTAAATTACTCTAACATGCTTTTGGTGAACTTTGGCTGCTAAAGAACTCTGCTGGACCATTTGCAAGTCAGTTATGCACACAATTTTAATTTTGATCGAGTTTTCACCACCGAGTGGAAATCTGCTATCTATGATTGCGGTAATTAAGCACTAGACGGCACTGTGTTGATTTGGGGCTGAAGATAAGCTTCAATTTCCATTCAACTACCTCACCCAGGGTGTAATAAACAGAGTAGGCCTCAAAGATTCTAGTGCATCTGAAAATGGACGCTTTTTATCTATAAATCAACTTCTTCTTGTACCAAGCTTTTCTCAGAGTGAAATAACCTTAACTTTTCATGAATGTTGAAGACTAAAAGCCCGTTTCTGCTCTTTTTAACCTTTTCACAGGCTCTATAACACCAAAATTTTGAGAACTCAATGGAATAAAGTATACAAGGTAGTTATATTTTGCATATGATGAATTTATTGCAATAAATCTTCACATCAAAAATGAATCATAATGAAACACTGTTACAAAATTTTATTTTAAAAATGAAAATAACACAATGTCTAAAAATGGATGCTATATGAACGTAATTAGCATTAACTGATACAGAGTGGGGTTAAAAGTGGGGCTGTGAATGGGGGCAATTTACAATTGAATATTGACCTCGTGTTAGGAAAAATATAGACTTCGAACCAATTCTGGGCTGTAAAAAATTTTATCAAAATAGATTTTGACAAAAACAAATAGATTCTTTTACATTATCCCCTAACAGTATAAACTTGGGGTTCATCAAGTCTCAGAGAAGGAAAATACCTCTATATCAGTGGATCTCAAACAACAAACCCCCCTCCCCCCAATTTTTCGAGCAGGATTGAAGCTAATTTAAAATAAGAAAAATCATTAGATTTGAACTTGTCCACCTTTTCTGGATAATTACGGTGCGTTTTTTGATTGAAATATACTTTCGTCTTACCATCTGTTATTTGTAGTTTATTGTTAGCTACTGTAGTTATTTTTTAGGTGGAACGCGAGACTGAAAAATTATAAAAAGGGGCTGCGGTCTAAAAAGTTTGAAAACCACTGATCTATATAATCGAGGAAGTCTAGTTTGCCATTGACAGCTCAAATCTATCCTACCCGCTTTTGAGCGAAATAACATAAAAAAGAGCTGTTATAGGCAAAAAGCTTCAACTACACAATTATTATTAGTGATAGTCTGAGTGGGTTGATAAAATAGGGACTTGGTTTAGGGGTTCTTAAGTTTTATTTTCTTGTGGCAAATTTAAAAAAATTTTCGCCCCGAATTTGAAAATTTAACACCATTGCAGGTAAAATATACCAGAAGTTAAAGCACTTGGGTTTGGCCAAGCTGAAACGGGAAATTCGAGTCTTTCTAAAAAATATCAGTGGTTGAATAACTTAAGACTCTCTTAGTGAAGGGCGCGAAACAGATCATGACGCAAAATTAGGTGATATGGGAGCCACTGATAAAAACAAGATAGATAGGGTGTCCATAAAGTCCTAAACTTTCTTAGAGGTCATAGATACCGAATACTGGGTTGGCCCTCACTGATGTATTGAATTAAGTTAAAACACTTGAACAATTACTGATTAAAAAACAACAAACCTGGTTAAGGTATATTGAGAACTGACCCTTATTGGAATTGTAAAGGGACTTTATGGACACCCTGTACCACATATGATAGCAACAAAAAATCAATAAAATAGTCTAAGATTTATGGTGGCTCCACTACATATCAGAGAAGTTTCCGAAACTCACTTACAGCAAAAGCACAGTTTAATATTAACCGATAATTCAGCATATTTAATATTGCAGTAATGAATACAGATTAGATGAATATGAGTATAAATTATAATTATGAATATGATTAATCGTATTAATAATTATCATAAAAAATAGTTTAAAATCTCAAGTTTCAGCATAGACTTGACTTTATTTATCACACAAAAACAACACAAAAATGAATATTTATCCCATACAAAAAGTACAGGGCTAAAATCAAACTTATCGGGTATTCCCAGATGAGATACATTTGTGTGAGTAAAATATAAAGATTATGAATAAAAATGATAAAATAGAATAAAAGTTTAATATTTCAGCATAGGGTTGACTTTTTTATACCACAAAAACATCACAGGGTTAAATTAAACTTATTATTTATTACATACAAACAGTACGGGGTTAAAATCAAACCTAACAGGCATTCCAAGATGAGACACATTTGCGTACGGCGGATTTGAAAACTCATAGACTGTTTCACTGGGGAGTCGTTCTAGGACTTATAAAACACCGGTTTTTGATTGTTTCTCAAACTCATTATAGTCCACAATCATCCGTTGGTTGTTGAATGTTCCACCTTTATACCGTCGGTGACTATCTTTCAAAAGTGGAGCAATGCCCAGACCTGACTGCTCAGCGTTTTAACGGCTATTCAACTTCCAGATCTTCTAAATCCCCTCCAAGTTGGAAAAGATAGAAACCAAAAGATTTGAGATGAATCGTAGGCTTGTAAACCGCAAGATTATTATTTCCATCTTCCAATACTTGGACTTGCCAAAGGCCTTTGTTAACTTCATCCCAGAACTTCTAGATTCTCTGTTGATCATTTCTAACCATCCACTGGATATTATCCTGCACGAAATCATAAATTTTTACACACAACTTGCTCAACAGAGTCGAGTCGCAGTGACATTTTAAAGTGTTGTTCCAGGTTTGCTCGATTCTCTCGGATGTTATATATCTTTCAGAATATCCATAGGCTCCATAGGCTTGCAAATGTGAGTCCACGTCTGAAAAATTGTAAAAATGAATGTTATTAATATAAGATTTGAAACCAAGGGTGCCATGGAACCCCTGGATTGTACTGGCACAAGGGCTCATAGGCTTGAGAGTTGTTCAAACTCCAAATACATAAAATCAAAATGATCTTTAAAGTGTAGCAAGTTAAATTATAAAGATAAATCGAAAATGGAATTTGATTCTATTTGAACAACAATATACAAACTTTCTACCCTGGCAGACCGGTAAAATTAAATAAAATGTACTGGCGAACTGGCAAAATAAGGAAATGAGTGGAACAGAAAATATTAACATATAAACCTATTTGCCAAATAAAATGCAGTGCTGGGCACCCATTTTGCTTAAAAAAGACACACAGAAAACATCTCACATAATAAACATGTACATACCAAATCATGTACAAACACTAGTGAGAATTTTGCTGGTGTTTTGTATACAAAACAGGATTGCAATTGAGGCATCAAAAAAAGTTTTGCAACTCGTAGATTTGAAGCGGCTCACAACCGATTTTTTTGCTCCCTTTTAATTAAAGCTAGTAATGAAAAAAAGTTTCGTACAAGTAACTGGTTGAAAATTCAGATAACAGTTTGATTGCTCAATTACTTACCTATGAGTATTCGTCATCAGCAAGAGAGCTCGAGAATTGTGACAGTAATTTTTTTATAAATCTGGACTGTAAAGTAGAGGTTTCATTCGGTTTATCATATTTATTCCTCTGCAGTTGATAGACGCCTAAAATAAAATGAATTTATATTACAATGATAAAGTCGTTGTTAATTTGGCACCAGGCCTAAAATCCTGTTGTGCATCACCTAAAAAAGATTTTAGCAGTTCATGCTTTTGTTGCGTGTATCATGACCACCTGCAGGGTCGCGCAACAATTTCAAGTTCTTGCTGGATGTTGGGGGGAAGCTCTGGAATATTATATTGTTCGTGACTCTTTTCATGTTCAAACAAAGAAGATTCATAACCTTTTATTTCAGTATTTGAATGGTAATATTAATCAAGAAAAGCATGCAGAACAGTTACGCAATCACTTATTCTCTTTATACTCTTCATAAATATGTATTACCTTCCCCCTATTTCCTACTTTTGTATTTCAGTCTCTCAGTCTCATGGACATCGGTCGTGATTTTGTTTTGTTTGATATGTGTTATTCAGTCTATCTTTACACTTATGAAGTGTTTCTCCTATTTAAGATATCAGTACTGCAGTATGGGTAATTCTCTATTGATCTCCAGTCAAATCTATTATATATCGTTCAACTTTCTCCCCGAATCCTCCTTCGAAGACGCCTAGCTAAATGCTAGAACAGAACAGCGTTGTATCAAAATAATATAGAGGGGAAATCCCCAATTCTAAAAAAGCGCCATCTCGAGGCTATGCTGTTCGCATATACGAGTGTTTACTTGTGTTTGAGAATTTTAAACTCTTGTGGAAATGTCCCCGTTCAGGTTTTTTTTGAAGATTTTAAATGTTACGTATACGATTGTCATTCAAGATTGCTTAAAGCTAGGTCCATAGTCTTCAATTATTGGTGGAAATAGTGCTGATAGGAGCCTCATCTCTCTGATGCTCTAAAGAAAGTGATGCAATTCAAAATGGTAACACGGGTTCTTCTTTTCGTTGAACTACCTAACAACAAGTCCCTGCATGAAAATCCCCAGAATCCTTAACTTTTAACATCAAAAGAGCTTGCATAAATTTCTGGTCAAGGATCTTTTATTTTACAAAGTTACTACAGAAAACTCGAAAATTACTACGAGTTTTTTTATTTTATTTATTCTTTCAATTGAATATAGTATAGGAATCGTCAAAATAGGAATGAACAGCGCGGTTCAATGGCAAGTCAACTCATCATTGTTAGTAAGTTCAACATCACAAATCAGACAAAATTAACTTAATTTTTTCTTGAGTTCTCGGATCACCAAATATACCTATATGAGATACACCAGGTAATTCGTGAACCTCTGTGAATAACTTTTCATCCGACGCGTTATTTTTAACAAAATCTTCTTCCCATATTTTACACCCACGTAGGCTTTCATGAACCAATGTAAAATCACCACTAACTTTTTGTATAACCGGTTGTTGGTCAGGAAAATTTTTGGGGTAATAAAACAACCCTGGAGTAGGAAGACCAACCCCATAAAAGCAATATGTTTTAACTCTTGGGTGCTCAAAAAGCATTCCGCCTTTCGTGCGCTTGAGTCTGTTTTCGCGCATTATCTTTTCATAAATTAGTTTTCCAACTTTGTTGTTTGAGGCCTCGAAGTATAAATCAAGATCTTCCGGGTTCAGCGAGAAATTGTACTTCGGGGTCTTGATGAAAATATGATTAGGCTTGTGGAAGAGATAGTTCGGCATCAGCAGATAATCTAAATAGGAGAATGTGAAGAACATTAATTCTTAGACTAACTGATATTACAACAAAAAAGGCCGTTCGTCTATTGCTTATCTTTCGTTTTACGTTCAACTTACACTTACTGCTGGATCCGTTTGTGGCCTGGATTACAATGTAATAAACATTATAGAAGTATTTCAAAGAAATATATATTCATATATCATCAAGTTTTACCAAGATTTTGCTACAAGATTTTTCATTCAGATTAGGTTTCGAGACCTTACAAAAATAGTAGAATAACTAAGGAGTTAATTGAAAATAATCAATCTGGAATACGCTAGGTAACTGAATAAAAAGCCGGCCAAGCAAGGCTGAGTAAATATAATCTTTACGCTAAATTGCGATTAACCTAAGAATATATGGTATGGAAATATAAGGAAAAGTTAATATCGTCAGAACGGTTTCAATCATATTTCAATTACATAATTTTTCGCATTCTTACTTAGTTCAGTGATCGAACTCAAACCTGAAGTAGTGAAATATCTATAAACTATATACAAACGTACTTGATTCAAATGTTCTCTGGATCATTTTGCAATCTCGTACTTTTACCAGCGGTACATTGAAGTTATAGCCTGATGTTATTGACTGAAGAGCTTTATTTGATCCTCCCCAAGGTGTCGACAAAGCAATGAAAGAATGAATGAACTTATCCTGAAAATTGATGAAATATTTTGGAAAATGGGTTTAATATAAATGAAAAAATTTCGTTGCTTTGTTGAAAAGAATGAAAATTCGAACCGTATTTTGTAAAAAAAAAATGAGGAATAAAATAATAGATATAACCTGCAAAGGGAAAAACGTCTCCAATAAATTTAAAATAAATTCATTTTTGTCGCAATTATGGACTCGTCTCGGGATAAATTCCAAATTTAAATAATCATTGTGATATCGATATTAGGTTTATGCTTTTGCACCGGTGGATCCGTATGTATATATAAAATGCAAGGATGTTGTAGCAAGAGTGAATATAACTTTGATTGAAGAATCTTGATGCACTTTAACAACAGTGTGTAGCAGGACTCTTGGATCACTCATAATCATTGTGATGTTTCACATTTTGTTTCCACACTGCGTATGACCATGCACATTCAAATAATTAGCCAATATGGTTATAAGAAACATCTATTCACTTGGTGTTCGCCTAATAAAAACAGAACGAAAATGTTTCCAACCTTCCATATTTGTGATTGCTTGTTCAAAAACCAAGAGGCGAAAAATCCACCCATGCTATGAGATATTATCGATACTTTTCGGTTGTTATTTGCTACATATGTATCCTCAACCAGAAGCTTGAATCTGAAAATAAAAATGTTGGCAACAATTGCTGATGAATACAGAATGTAATCCCAAGAATACCATGTGATTCAGTAAGCGATTATATTGGCATCATGTTGGCACCGTACCAAATATTATTTCTCAATTTATATCTATGTCAATGAAAATGTGAGAAAAAGATGGAAATCAAGCCGTATTGTAAAGTAGTTTATCATTGTACCTTACACACCATTCTGGCTGTGAAGCCATTGCAAATCTGAAATCGTACGGCGCTCCTCTGATCGAAACATCTCTGGTATATCCCCATGATACCATGGCTGAAAAAAAAACATGTTACGACATTAACAATATAAAATCGATTGATGGAAAGGATTGCATAGAAATAATGTAATATCATTCAGTTTAGGAACATTCAAATTCAATTGAAAGTATTTACATAAAACACTGCACTTATTGGCAGTCCACATCTAGCATAGCTTCCCTAAAACCGAAGCCCACCGTCTAAAAAGCGATTCAATAGTCACTCTATGAAAGAGATATTATGTATATCAACCCCCACACATAACTTCTATTTTTGACTAAGAAGTCTCGTATTTGCTACGATTGAGGGGGCAAGTCCTTATTTAATATTTCAAAAAGCTCCGGGCAACGACAAGAGGTCAAACTGTTAGCGCATAACTGAGAATATAAGCAAGCAGTTCTAGTTCAAGTTCTATGCCGTACCTTGTACTAAGTATGCTGCATCAAAGGCAATGTGGAAGATCCTCGCAAACGCGTGGTCGTCGACGTATTCAACAGTGTGGGCAGTTCCCCATCCTGGAATCTGGGTTTCTACACCAGGCTGGACGTGACTCGTGTTTGTGGTGAGATTAAAATTCAGCATCATGTTCTTTGCAGTACAGGGAAAACGACCGAGCATTATATCCTGTGCAAAAAAGATGATCTTTGTAAAATTTAATTTCGCAATTTGATTTACCAGAATGGTTGTATTTGTTCTTATATATGAAAATATATGGTATTTTGGTATGTTTTATATATATATCAGTGTTTGAAAAGTTGATTCGCATCTTAACTCTGAGTCACTGTCTATATATACTAGCCTTTGTATGTAGGTCGCAACAAGTATTAAAGAAGAATACAAACTCCCCGGTTAGGCCGACCATACTCATTTCCCTACACACTGGGTTAGGTGATGAATATGAGATATACCCAAAAGGTGGCAAGATTATATATATATACCTTCGAAGCTAGCATAGTTAAGCCAACGTGTTGTAACCACGCCAAAGTGCCTAGCATTGCACGTTTTCCAAAATTGCCCACTACTACAGAATTCGTAATATGTTTTTCTGAATAAATAACATTGGCAATCATTACAACCTAAATACCATATCCCAGAAATGGAACATATTTGTAATTGTAAATCTGCAAAAACATCATTTTTGTCTTCTCATTTCTAACATCAGATTCCTATCTACACATACAACTTCTACTTACTTCAACGTTAAGCCACATTCGAAACCATTCTTTCCTTGAATCACAGTTTGATTTTGCTTTAATCTTTGCATCGATAGGCGAGGCACCATCGCCTGGTACAATAATCACAGGAGCGAATCCATGCGGTGCAGCACCAGCTTCACTTCCTATGGATTTTAATGGATATGTTTATTACGGTTGAATTGCTAAGTTTACAAAAATCTCGTATTTTTTTAGAAAATTTCACAAACGGTGAATCTTCTTAAACAAAGGGAGCTCTGGTTGAGCATCTAATGCTCTAGTTGTTCTGAACCTGCGGACCACTAGTGAATGGGTGTAGTGCCACATAAAATACTCCCATAGCGCGTTTCTTGTGGCATTGTTCCTCACCCTAAAACGGGGTTTTGTCGGTGGTACGCGATCAGAGTAAAAAAACACAATAGTGATCAGTAAAAGGTTATCTAATTTGTATAATCTGCAGTGATTACAATTAATACTTTAACAGTCCCAAATCGGAGATCCACATCGTCTTTCAGCAAATGGGAAACCGTGGATTAACCAAAATTGTATATATATCTTTTTTTAAGGCCATCACCCTCAAATTTTATATGTGTATAGGCCCAATGAAACAAAACCCTGGTCTATTCTGCCCAAAAAGCTATTTCCTCCAGCTATATCATCGCCAAGTCGAATTTTTATCAAAATACACTCACCAGAGCTAACGTTGAAGCGGGATGATATACATAAAAATAACCAAACTCCGAACTGGAACTTCATGATAGCATGATAAATAAATAAAGTTATCTGAAGATAATACCAAACGTTTACTTGCGAGTAAGCAAAAGTACTAGATTATTATTGCATACTTGATATCTTAGTATAGGCTACTTCATATAGACTCTAGTATACCGACTGACTTTTCACAAGCGTAAGAATCACGCATAAAACCATCGTCATCAACCAAACAAAATAAACCACGACTGGAATTATAGACCAAAACAAACGAGAGGCATAATTAGTCTGAATACCAAAACAAAACAAAAACACAAGTAGGGTGATTGGAACACATTTCATTGGATAGGATTTACGTCCCATGCCACGCCCATCTTCAATAAAAATAAGGCGTGGCTTTGAGGCGACTAACGACATAAGTCTTTCATTAATTCGCCCATTTCTGGGCAATGTTCTACTATGCATGTGACCAGTTGAAAAATAATTGAGAGGAGAACGAAGGTCGTGATCCGCAAATTTCCTTGCAACGCATTATGGACATTCTACAGATACTAAAGATGGATATACAGTTATAATTTGTATTAAAATTGTATTGTATTTGGTTTTTCCACAATTGTTTTTTGATGATTTGTATTTTTCATCCAGGTTCATTTGGTTAAATTTAAGTTCTGAACCTCGTCTAAAAAATTAATTTTTCCCCTTTTTTCCGTAGGTGAGTAATACTAGTACAACGAGAGTTTGCCGTGAAACAAACGGCTCGCAAAGTCTCTGGGAAATTCAGAAAAATACAAAAGTAACAGCCTTTTAAAAGACATTTTAACCTCTAAGTACTGGGAAGAGAATACTACAATCTCAAAAGAAAAGTTCATCTTTGGCACCTCGATCAAAAACGAACCACAACTCGGCTGAATATTATAGACAAATTACAATCTCATTTGTTTTCGATAACTTCAAAGTTTTAGATTATTGATTCTTGTCTTTTGTTTATTAGATTTAACCCTTACCAATCATTTTTTGTTTCCCAAATTGATACTGACTACAAAAAAACTCAGTTGTATGAAAATGTATTGAATGGGTTAAAGTAATGGCAAATAATACAAAACATATCACAGTGATAAAAGACGATAAAACCTTTTGCAAACATCGCTGAAAAATTGTAGATTTCACATTTACTTTGTTGAAATAGACAACATTAAAATGAATGCCCAGAGTTTTTCCCCGGTGAGAACAAACGTATAAACGGCTTTGTTATCAATTCTAAGTTTAAGGTTATGAGTGTATTTAGTATACGGCTTCAAATGATTTCAAAAGTATTGTGATAATGCGCTGCCTTCGTTGATAATAATCGTGTTACACAAATTATTCCTAATATGATTATAAGCCCGGAGTAAAGGTTTTGAGTATGTATTGTACTACAACTTTTGCTGCAAATAAATCATTTGATAAGGAAATAGGCAAACCAAACCGACCATAATTAACGGTATTCAAATTATTGAACTATTTTTTGGCCTATTGTAGAGATCCGAATTGTAAATTGCAGTTTAAGTTAAAACCGGGGTTTGTCGCCCAAGTAGGCAGATTCAATCTTGTTCCAACATTGTCCTCATTTTTCAAAAATTTATTGTTTCTGAAATTGAGTGTTTTATATAGTTTTCATATCATTTAATTCATATTCACTTTTGCATTCGCGGCTTCAACGTAGAAATATGGCATTGAATATAGAAAATAAACGAAAAAAGAAAAACAATAAAAAAACAAAAATTGGCGTGAATACAGAAATAACGTAAAGTATTTTAAAATACAATGAAGTTTGGCAGTGCCAGTTTTCACACCACTGTAGCATGTCATGAATCCCTGAATGAAAGTCATGATAAGCTTTACCACTGTCGGTTACCAAATTAAAGAAAATAAGGTATAGGAATTATGGCTATCTAATAAATATAAGTAATATTCCAGAAAACTATCAAGTTATATCAATGTAATGGAGTTTTCGGTTCATTCAAAATTATATTACAGTATGGGTTTTATGTATTAAAAATATGTGATGACAACTATCAAAAACACGTTCCAAATATCTTTCGAGGGAGTTCAGTGCACCTATCAACAGGGCCAAAAAGCCTGATTAGTGCATGTAACCGTTCTTGGAGATAGCTCAAACATGAGTCAAGATTTTCCTCCAAATCTCAAGATTTTAATTTTACTTTGAATTGAGACTTTGCCCGCTGAAAATTAAATATTGTTTAAACACAGACAAACGCAGGCTGTGCATCTTTGGTGCATACGTGTCCAAGTACAATTTTTAACCTACACCATATAAGTCGAACGTTCCGTACATGTTATCACATTGTTTTTCTTCGTTTTTTTTTATGTAAAACATACATACATCCCCATCGTGTTTTAAACTTTCAAAAACAGAGAATTTTTCTCTTTCTCTCTTCAATGTCTAGCAAGGTATTTTCCACAATTCATTTTATTCGATATCTTTTTCATACTTCCTTCATAAGATTTCTTCCATCTTGCCCAGTAGTCGGTATACGAAACTATTAACCGTGTTTCAAATCTTCGACCTACTTCGGGTTCACGCTCTTTGCTCTAGAAAATATAAATTTCGAAATTACTACTGAAATTTCGGCGCAGAGTTGCTACTTCGGGAAATTTCGTTAAAACTCAGAGATAATGGAAACCGATATATTGAAGTCTGCCGTTATAGTGTTGATGTATAAGTAGGCGCCGGAATCATAGACTGAAATTCTGAACTTAGAGATTGTATCTTAAAATTCTAAAAGCGGCAGTGAAAACTATAACTAACATTCAAAAGGCTAACAAATGCTGGTTTTTATAGTCCAGTTGGAGTCGGAGTCGTTTTTTTTCAGCTCGGAGTCGGAGCCGGAATTGAAATTTCATTATTGCGAATTCGATAATCGAAACCGGATTCGGGATTCTGGATTGCAAGTTAGAGACTGAAATGTAATCATACCTTTCGCTTCTTTCGTCCTTCGTTTGTGATATCGACTTTAATTTTTCTCCCCATCAGAAGATAATTTCTAAGGGGTCTCAATTTGGGGCAACACGTACTTGGGACCCAGATGTACTCTCTTTTCATCAATTTGAACTGGCTTTTGTACGTTGTTATAATTTCAATATCAAATCTTATACTTTTACCATGATTGAAGCGACGCTTGGATATGATTCTGGCATGGATTGCTGTAAAAAAGATAAAAAAAAATTAGGTATCAAGTAATAGTAATCGCCAATACTAGATTTATTATTAGCTGACTTGAAAAAGCGTGGGCTAAAAACGTTATATTACTGTTAAAAATAGTTGACAGCTTCTGAAAAAGACCTACTATTTTTATGGAGTCACCAGGACTAGGTGATGAAAAATGGTAATCTTTTTTTTTGTTGTGGGTCCCAATCCTAACCACTGTGTTACGACGCATTTTACCTGCGTTTAGAACTTGTCATTACATGATCAAATCTGTTGAAAGATTGATAAGTAGAACGACGCACCAAAGCAGGCTCCATCAACTTTTTTGTAGAAATTCAATTTTACTATAAATGAATGTTCTTCTAGTGCGCCGTGATTTGTATTCCATTTAGTGAATGTGTTATAAGTTTGAAAGTTTAGAAACTTCTGTTCTAATAAATTGACTACTCCTCTTGCGAAGCGACGATCGTGGGAATCGGCATTCATATATTTAACGTACAACAACATCATGGTTAAACGCAAACTGATAAGAGTGTCTATAAAGTTATTTGTTGAGCATGGATATCTCATCATTAGCGTCTATGTTTATATAAGTACCAATTCATCCATTTCCAATGTTTAAATCGGGTAAACTGACAAAAATAAAAGTTAGTTACACAAACTAATAATCAAAGCTACATGAAAAAACTTTATCCGTCAATATTGCATTTAAATTCAGTTTAATCTTAGGACTCGGCGTAAATCCTGGTTCATCAGATTCTTCACTTTTAAATATGCTTCCTTTCCTTACGTGCACGTATTTTTCTCCCACGTAAAACGGCTAGGAATATTGCAAACTCATAATTTCTCGATAAGAACCGCGACAAATGCGCATTTCAAAATTGGATCTAATCCAAGGTCATGGCGCTCTTATATGTGACACTTATCCTTAAGGCCATCTTCAAATTGTCAAAACATATTTACGTCTAACAGGATTATTTTAAACGTCGCAAATAAGATTTTAAATCCGCTTTTCTGATTTAATACTTTAAGCCATGCCATTTGTAGAAAAGAAAATATGATTATACGATTTTCTTATGCGAAGTGTGCCAAATTATTGTGTTTTTGTACGTAGAAAATCTTTTCGTTTCGGCATTAGTCTATTAATTTATTACACACTGGGCGAGATGATAGGCATGACATTTGAACTCTATCACTTTAACCTAAGGCGTCAACACAGGTAAAGCCCAACGCTGTAATCATTTGATGTCGCCACCAATTCACTAAAATGACAACAATAAATTTATCTCAGATATATGGCAAAACTAATTGAAATGTTTCCCAAAACAGAGATAGACTGCGTCAGTACATTAGGGCGTGCTTTTCTGAAAATGGTCTCGGGAACTTGTGCAACTGGCGATCGCGGGAACGATAAAACAGAGAGTTCCTACAACTATAGGAACCTGACATTTAGTAAAATAAATCACAATTCAATTCCTTCAAATCAGTATTTATAATAGGGAATACGGAGGTAATGTATATGTTTCGTCTTCTAGGAAGTAGATTAGAAATATTATGATTCGGAAATTTGAAATTTAGATCGAATTCCCTAGGCAGATTTACGTACCAAAATCACTATTGCAGTAATGTCTTTTCCTGTTCCTCGGTTTCTTGCATGGACTACAGTAAGCTGGTTTGTCTGATACAACCGAGATTTGGATTGATGTTTTTGGCTGCAGAAAACAGAAAATATATTTCATTGCAATACCACAGATAGTGTGGTTATGGTAGAGTTTGTCGGGGTGGTGAAATGTCATGCAGCATCATCATGCAGGCCGCGTATACAATCAATCAATTAATCAAGTCGTTTTTTATTCGCCATTCGGGTAAAGCATAACAAAATGAAAACTTTGGATAGACAAAACCAAGGCTGGGGTACGAGACAGCCTACCGAGAGGATGGCGCTTCGGGAAAACGGCGGATACATTTAAACACATTTCGTGTTCATCTAGGTTACTTCCCTACCATCGTTCTGTCATGAAAATCTCTCCACAAATGGGAACAGATTTTTCTATTACTTTCTTGCAGGAAATATACTAACCCTAATTTTTCCACCCATCAATTTTCTTGGCGCTAAAGTGGTTTTAGTTGTGGTCGGAAGCAAAGTTGTAGTAGTTGGTGTAGTAGTAGTAGCAGTAGTAGTAGTAGTAGTAGTGCTGGTTGCAGTAGAAGTTCTAGTGCTTGTAGTAGTAGCGAGAGTTGTGGTAACATCTGGTAACGATGCTGGGATATTTTCGTCAACATCAAACTCGTAGTCCGCATTGTCGTGATAAAAGTTGGCATCGTAATAGTTATCTGTTAATATTGAAATTATATTAAAACTATCCCAAGATGCAATAATAACAATAATACTGTCAAATAAAATAATGGAAATAGTACGGCAACGGCACAATGTACTGAAATCACCATGTAGAATGTCTGCTCATGATAAGCTAACGGTACTTTATGGTTAAGTTTATCGCAGGTTCCGTAAAAATATTTATTCGTACCTAAAATAAAATTAACGTAATCAAGAACGCATTCAGAGGTTCTTAACAGAATAGTAGCCCGTTAACTGACAATGCATATTTAAATCTGGCAACAATTATATCAAACATTTTTCCCCGCCATGTCAGTCATTGCTCTCAGACTAAACACCGAGGACGTATAGGATGTGTAGAGGATGGAAGTTAAAGAAACATTATCGGCTATGCTTTATTAGTAAGTATTACTTTAGAATGTGTTATATCTACCTATATATTCATATCGTTGACTAAATTCGTTCAATTCACCTAAATCAGAAAGAAGTGAATTCGGAATCCAATATTCGTATTTGATATCTGGTTGGTGTTGAAGATACAGGATCTGAGGAAAAACAATTTCATTTTAATTAAAATATCATTCGAAATCGGATATTATATCCATAAGATAGATTGAGAACTGTAAAGAGGCAAAAAAACAGATATTAGGTATAGTGGACTGGGTATGCCGTATCGTAATGGATTAGAAAAAAAATGAAATAATTCTCGAATTGTTATAAAAATGTTTATCAAAATAGTCTCAAAGTACTGGGTCACTGTGTGCAAACGCCACTGCACCTTTAAATAACGGCAAATTTTTGCTGCATGTAAACAATAACAATGGAAGCCAGTAATATATAAAAATCATTTTGGATTTTTTTTCTGCATATGCGAGTGATTGGACTATTCATTCAACTTCAGTCTCAGTTAGACGTATGTAACATTTATCACCAATGTAAAACAAGACACAATCTACGTTTATAAGTTAAAACAGAGCGTGTAAAGGTTCCAAATTTTATTCTATTCAGGTGAAATAAAGCACCACAAACATGCAGGTTTTAGGGGTTTAGAGATTTTACAGATTCTTTAAATTTTTGCAATATTTTCGATAGCCGGGATTCGCTAAACCCATTACTGCGTGATCCCGCTGGGTTTGGGGTTTCAATTACGAAATACCAAACTGAAATGAAAGATTTAAAATAAAATTGAATTAGAACATCAGCAAAAAATTCAATGTAAAGATAAAGTGAAATAGAGTATAGAAATCAAAACATTTTTCTGACGATGCGCATATGTAGTTAGGGTAGAATTATTTATTTACGGTTCTTTATGTAAACAAAAGAGTAAACCGACGAAAATGTTAAATCAAGGCCGTGTATAGCGCTCTTTGAGGCAGCGTTTGCCAAGCTACTCAAATTCAATAAGACGTAAACGAACCGTTTCACGAAAAAGTTTCAGTTTCTGTCCGGCACATAAAGCTTGTCACCAAATAATCATGTATATATGCCAGACTAAGTCATATGGAACCAAAACTCCATTACAAGTCACATTGTTCTAATTACTATATCTAAAAGATCTTTTTCCTATGAGCTACATTCCTGATTTCGATTGTGGGTTAGAATCTACATTAGTCTGGTTGGTGTACAATAATTTGAACATCTCCAATTAACAAAGGCTTCAGTGGGTAGTAAGATCATTAAAAACCAAATAGTCATATACGATAAGTTCTTCGTTATTATATGTTAAGTCATCTTACCATGATATACAAATCTTTAGTCGTCGGTCCAGTGATTGTAAAGGTTTCATTCTCGCCGATCCTTCCGTATTGGACTGTGGTTCCAGCCGCTTGGAAATCACCTGGCCAGCTTACAACCCAATTTCCATTAATTATGTAACGTTCAAAATGATCGTCAGCTTCCATGAGTGCTGCGGAAGAAAGATGTATCGTTTATATATATGGGGTGAATTAATTTTAGAGGGTTGAGATAAATTTTGATTACTACATGCTATTAAAGATATTCTCAATTTCAAAAAGTCGCGTCAACTGGTACGAACGTCATCATGCAAACGTAACTACTTAATAATCTGCTGAACAATGCTTCAATGACACTTTGGTTCATCTTTGCAAATGTGTACTAAATGATCATCATTATTAATTACATGAAATTGTAAACAGTTTTTCAATGTAGGGTAAAAATTTGTTTTACAAATTTAAAATCATCCAGACAGAAAATATTTATGTCAAAACTCACTCCGTGACCCCAAACAGGAAGCCAAACAATAAAACACGGGAAGAATTTACGATCAACACAAAGTACCACAAAGATAATAGAAGAGTAGCAAAGGAATTCGTTTGCGACTACAAATTCGAATGCTTTGAGCACTATTGGTTAGACTAGTAATTCGTCTCTGTCGACAACCCTTAGAGTATTACTGTATTTGACTTCCCTAATAACGACCCGTTCCGAACCCCTAAAATTATTATCTGAAGCCATGGATTGCCGAAAGAGCAATTAACTCAATCAGCTAGGTTTCGTTTATCATCTGTTGAAATACGAGTAACTGTTCTACATAGTTCAAATCATGTTCTGAATAAATTTTTCTTGCTGATTGCAAACTAAATCCCTAATCAAGATATTTTTACAGAGTTAGACGGCAACTAATAACAAACAATGCAGAGGCAATTTAAAGTCCTTTAGGTTCATTCAAGTATCTTTAAACTTGCTTAAAAATTCTAATCAACACAAATATAGAAGCAAACTCCGTTATTATAAAGTTGTAAACGTACCCAGGAAATTTTCGTTGTAATCATTAACAATAATATGGCTTGCCCCTTTCGGAATTCTTGCAACTTCGTTATAATTGAATCCGCCAGCTGGGAAAATAAATTATAAACACTAAGGAAATGTAAAATTTACTTCGAGAAATATTTCACCCCGGCATCGCCTAAAGCACCTTTCTGGAAAACGAAGACGCCGATATTGTGAGTAGTACTATTGGGTAATGGAATCCTACCAGCGACGTATCGAGTATTTGTTGAATGTATAAACTTTTCAGAGTCATGATTTTAGACTCATTGAAAACGGGAATCGGAAATCAAAAGAGGTTTGGCAACGTTCAGTTTTCGGAAGCAGGATGTTGTTACATAGTGGGAGCTTGAGTGATTATTGTCAATATGGTATACGAGTGTAAATTCAAATCAAACCGGAATTGAATGTTGCTTTCTGAATAGCTTGGAGTTCGGAATGTTGTAGTTCAAATCATTGTTGAAATGGTTTACCTGCGTTTTCTTTCAGCTGAATAAAAACGTTTTCAATGTGAAGACAAGTACCGTTGTTTCCACCACAAACTCCACAAGCATCTTCTCTCATGGTTGATCCTACGATCATGTCGCATCCAATTTCCTGCAGAAAATAAAAGTTCAAAATTATCTGCACATCGACAAAAAAGACATTTTACTTAGATTACGGTAGTTTTTGGTTTGGGTTTATATGAGAAGATCACATTTTGTTCATATCACGATAAAATGCATCATTGTCGTTTACATAAAATCATCTTACGACTCTATACAATTGCTAATTATAACAGAAAAATTTTGACCTCGCAATATTGGGTATCTTTATGCTTCGGCATACTTGAGCCTGTTGATTTGACCATATGACAAGAGATGGGCATTGGTAGGACTGGTTTGACAATTTCTGTTACCAGCGAAAGGCAGTTTTGCAACCGCCAATCACGACAAGCAACCGCGACAAAAAGCAGTATCATATAGGCTATAATCTGCAAACTAAAGAATACCTAAAGTGCTTTCAATATTTTTATAAAACTTCGACGCTGGCAACACTATGATTGTTAAGTTTGTTATCTGGAATGTAATTATAAGATTTATATTCTTTGTTATCCGTCTCTCAAGGCGCCGGTATTTCCGAATATTTGCACGTAAACATTCTTATAAGCAACAATTATAGCGACATTTTGAAGCGTGTCTTCCTGTTGGTATCAGTGTGTGGGACTAGCGAGCTCATATGGAACTACTTATCATCAATGGCTTAAAACAAATGAATACTCGTTTTAATTGCGAAGCGTTTTTTGTCGCGAAATAATACTAATACCCAGGAAGGATAATCAAAATTGATGGGTGTATTTCCTTTACTGAAATTTAAAATTGACGTTTCAGTTACTACCGTACAGCTGTTTTCAGATCATACTTACTTGACCTGACCGTCACCCATCATAAATCTAAAAAGTTTCATGAGCTGGTATTGCAGTAATCGCCCATAAGTACTTTTGACATAACCAATTGTTCAGGTCCTGAGTGCAACTTTTCTTTCAGTACTCTTTCTACTTTAAGTTGAGGGTTCAAAACCTATCTTTGAGCAAACTTGTGTGAGAAGTGAGTGCGCGTAACTCTGCTCTGAGAAAGTTGTAATAAAAAAGTTGATTCTCTATTGAAATATTGTCCAGTAAGCGCATTTCGACAATGAATGCCAATTGCCAGTTAAGTTTAATGATTTTTATCACAGCAAATTAAATGCAAATGTGTTTATTCGACATCTAATTAGTTATCTAATCTTTGTAAAAGCGATGTCTCTGTACATATTCCAAATATCAATCATGACATCGTCTCACGGGAGATACACAGACAGACTATCGGATTATACAGTGACGTATCTTGCTTTATTTACTTTGTTAAAATTCCCGATGGAATCGGATTTGAATAACACATAGACGACATTGCCCTATTTTCTATCCGCCATTCCATTGATATGTTGAAATACGCTTTCATAAAAAAGGTACATTTTGAAATTTTTTATTGATCTCAGAAAATCTGCTACCGGTATATTGGCAAAACAAATAAGTCTCGCATGTCGTAGCCTGCCTATTACCTATATAGAAAGATCTTCACAAGATTCTCATATATAAAAATGCCAAAAGACCGAAACTTCCCGAATAGGTTACCGGATCGACGGTTGAGAGCTGTACTGCCCAACCTACTTCTCCATTCTAGGACATGTCATGGTCTTTGATGAACATTGGACCAGATATGCAATTGCAATATATATTATTTTATATCAATGCGTAAGAGAATTTTTCTTCGAAAGAAAAAAATAAACGGGACATGATAATTGAGTATACAGTGTTTAATCCATTTCACTCACAGAGTACGGAGAGAGAGAGAGAGAGAGAGAGAGAGAGAGAGAGTGAGAAAGAGATAGCCTTTTGTAACGCTACAATAAACGCACTATCTTTTTATTGCTCCGGAGTGCATGTGAATTTGTGCGCGTGTGTTCTTGAAGCAAACATTCAACAACAGAATTCTGAGTTGCAAACTCTGAAACTCACTGACTCATTCAAAATTTAATTTTGAACTCACCACACATTCTCCTGCAATGCACATGTTTCTCTGATCTCTTCCACATCTTGTGCCGTCCAGTGCGATTCCAAACGATTGATAGAAATGATACTGAGTAGCAACACACGATAGTTCACAAGTTTCTATACCGTCATCTGTCAAGTTGAAAGGGAAAATAAAATGCAGGGTACCACAAACATAATGAGGTGTTTGGTGCTCTATTCTAGAAAGACGCACGAGCGCACTGTCAGCCCACTCATAAAAATGTCAAAATATAGGAAACATTACTTGAATTGAGGCGGAATTTTTACAATTAAATCAACATAGCCAAGATTGATCTATTTTTTTATTAAAACGATAAAATTTTGATTTATCTAAAATAAAAAACGAATCCCATGAAGCCCCCTAAAATTTTTGATGTAATAGCCTTCTAGCGACAACAACAATTTTTATTCGCTAAAATTTTCAAGGCAGTTGGTATAGCAGTTAAAGAGAAAGGCAATAATTTCACAAACAATAACAACAAGATGAAGAATACCGAGAAAAATTTTAACAACAATAACATAATGACAAAACGCATTTCGTGGTCAAAATGCTAAACCGCATGACCCACGCAAATTATTTTAAATAAAAATTTCGTTCACCAACTATTGTAAAACCACAATTCTTACAATATGTATTTACATAAGACCTCGAGGTTAAGACGTTCCATAATTTCAACCTATGACACAGTTCTCTGAGTGCACGACCTTCTACAAAATAAAAATTTAACGGCCCTATAAAACTGTTGTTGATACGTAAGTGAAAGTATGGCGCGTAAACAATTATGTTCATAATAAATATTGATAGCGTATTATTCCGGGCATTTTGTATCAAATGGTGCAAATCATTTGCTTCTGAAAAGGACGAGTGGTCACTGATACGTAACGAATCTTTAGTTTGGTAAAATTTGCGGTACAAAACGATTTGATTTTATGTTTATGAGCAGTTTATCACAACATAAACAAGGCGGCCTACAAGGAGCTCGATAGTAATTTCGCCCTGGATAAAGTGATGGTATAATGAAGCTTCGAATCATGACCTTTACCTCGTAACGCTATCATAGTTCGATCCAGGTGCAGCCTTATGTCTATACCACCGGTTCTCAACCTAAGCCATGACCCACTGAGGGACCACGGGAATATTTTCAGGTCGGCCACAAACCTAATTGAAAATTGTTACTTTGGTTTGTGTCCCTATAGTTACTTTTGTTTATAGTGGCAATGAATGATGATACTTATTTTTGCTACTTAGTGGTCATTTTCATTTCAATAAAAGAACTTTTTGTACAGCAAAAATGACCCACAAAAGAGAAAAGGTTGAGAACTACTGGTCTATACCATAGGTTAAAAAAAAATAGGTTCAAATCCTTTGGGAAATAGCGTTGATGAGTGACTATGCCAAACACTTCTATAATATAAGTAATAGATCAATCTTAAGTACGTCCCAGAATCATACAAAACGGGAAAAATAAACTTAAAATACCTTTACTTGTGTATGGTATCCATTTGAATTTCCTGAACCTGAAGAGCTTGTTGTTGTGTTCTGCACATTGAAGTTCACGAAACGAACGACCATTACCTGGACAAGCCTGAAGCGAAGAATGAAAATTTACAAATAGCCTATATGGAAAACCTTTTGCTTTGATAGAATTGGAGTGAGTTAAATGATAAAATTTCGTTTTGATCGTGTTTATTCATATATAAATTTTGGTCAGGTGGCAACAAGATTTATTTCAAGAACAGAAATATTGCTAATGCATTGAATATTTATTGCACCTTGATATTGCACAGCATGTATGCTATTTTTGCCCCGCTGCAGGATTTTTCTTTTGATGTCGATCTGAAAAAAATTAAAGAAGTTATAATGATATAACAATTGGTATATCTTTTATATAATGCAAACCATCAGCTAGTGAGTTAGACAGTGTAATTGGTTAACTAGAATGATTCGTTCTTTTTAATTGATATGTGGTAGCTTACTATATTTCAGCGTTGCTAGTATAGAGATAGAGTTTAAGGTACATTATTAACTGTTTGTTGAATGTATATATTACTTCGGGTTCGCGTATTTTAAATTATGCTAAAGTTCAACCAAATATTTTATATTATTACAAACACCTCATACCCCAATTCGCATCTCCTCGATCTCATTGCGACTCCACCTCCACACGACCTGGAGCATAAAGACCATTCCGACCAAGTTCCCCAGAATTCTTCGGCGCCTTTTCTTGTGCTTTGTCTTTCTTTAACGGGCACGATGTCCAATAAAGAATGGTCATTTGTGCCACGAGGAAGACCTTAAATTAAATGTAAGGTTGATTTTGTTTGAAATAAGTTGCCATACATAAGCAGCAAATATTAAGTTGTGCGCAAAGTAGGAAAACAGTGAAAACAGGAAGGTAGTGTTAGGAAGTACCACAATTTTTCGATTTGGCTAAGCATGCATAATTACTTAACTTGGTCGAGGAAATTTACAATCGACAGGTTTAAAAAAATTGAACTTCGACTACGGTTGAGAAAAATTTGGGCTTTGACTTAGGCTACGACTTTTAAAAAAATCAATGCAATGCAAGCTTTATTTAATAGACTGTTGGGAACTCTCATTAAGCTCAATGCTATTTCAGCTTCTGTTTAAATAGCGCTAATAAAACTTATTTTATTACCATAGAAAGTCTGAAATTGCAACTCCGACGAATTCAAACTCTGACCCCAGCGAAAACATGCCAAATTTTGACGTCCACGACTCGACAGGTTTGGTTTGAAGGGAGGAATATCCGGGAACGAATTTTATTTTAAGACTTATTAGATATCACCATAGTTAAGCATAATTGGAATCTTGTTTGGTATCTAGAGGAAAACATACCAGGTTTATAGATCGGTGGTATTTCAGGAGATAAGCGATGTTGGTTTGAATTACTCCCACCTCGTTGTACTATTGTATCTACGTTCCTTTGTCGTTGAGTCCCAAACATCAAATCCAAATGTTGGTTTTGAGAAGACTTTGGTTGAGATTTACACTAAAAATGTAGAAATGAATATTGTTGTATTATTTTTTTCGTGTTCACTAACAAAGAGATTTCTACACTATATAAAAATTATTTTTATCTTCTACTCTTAGGATGGGTGAGATAAGCAAACACAAAACACATGTGAAAATTCCTTCCAATACGCAGAAACGTAATAATTATTAAAAAATGAAAATCTTGAGTTTCACAAAACAATTGTCCAGTGGATTGAGTCCAAAATCATTTTATTTTTGATTCATAAAAACTTTCGACACGGAAAATATCAAAGTCGATACGAATCTATCCTATTTTCTATTGAAATATTTATCCCATCCAATCGCAAATAATTTCGGTATATATGTAAACAAGTTTCATACACTTCTACTTTTGATATAAATAACTTTATTTAAGCATGGATCCACACAAGACCTCATGTGAAATCGTCCGATTTCTGTTTCTGTCCAGACGAGTTAAATAAAATGTACGATCAAGTCAAAATTTTCCAGTTAGACATACCTGGCCTATTTGAATTGACACAAGTAACATTCCCATAAGAAATAAAATCCGCGGCGCCATTTTGTGTCGTAGATCTCACTTGAGGGTTCTCAGTTCCAGTAATCCCTTTTATCTTGTGCTAATAGTAAAGTAATCCGTCTATACGGGGTTAGGATAACATTACATTAGTCCTGCAGAAGAAATAAAAATTATTATTACAGCGACTCAAGCAGCTGGAAGCTTTGCGGTGGTCTTTGACAGACAAATGGGTCGAGATAGGAAATCTTCTGACTGCGATTGATATTTTTGTTTTCCATGATTCTAAAAATAGCAAACTGGTCTCTGAAATTTACTACATTGACGGATTAAAGCATATGGCGAGAACCACTAGTCATACTGAAAATTCTGATCACATGGTTGTTACCACTATATGTGTAAATTTTCATGTACACTATATTCTTTGGTATACGATCAATATATATGTATACCAGAAATGACAATTCTTGAAATGAACAAAGTTTCTCTAATGAGTTAGAAACCTATACTAATACTTGACGTCATCCTAATAACGTCAAGCATATGTAAAGTGAATTCTTATCAAATTTATTTTTACTCAATGCAACACAGTCTTGTACCTTTGATGCTATGTTGTATTCTACACGCCAGTTAACTATCCAATTTATTCCATTGGCTTGTCGTGAAAGACGAAGTTAATTGATTAGCTTCCTTCGGCGTCAAGTGACTTTTGACCTCTGAGTTCGTGTTTGTACATGCTACGCTAATCATTTGTCGTGCTAAACAAGCTACATTTGACCTCTGGCCTTATGAAATCCCAGAGGCTTGTGAAACAATGTTTGTTAATCGCGCACTATTATCGGGGCTGTCTTGATATGGACCGTATAGGAAGATCGAACATCGAAATGCCCCACGTTTGATTAGGTCCAAATCGTATTCTAGTAGGATTAGGAGCATCGTCAAATTACCCGGGCTTCAGAAATTCAAAGATAAATTGGCACTTTGTGCATTTGGTCGTCATATCGGTATGATCACGACAATTTTTCCACTTATGCCCAATATTATACTTTCAATACCATGGAACGTTAGCACTTAACCGCGGTGCATCTATACGCGAACGAGAAAAGCATTTCCTCGAGAAGAGAAACATCTACCTCTTCATAATTCAAGCATATGTTGTCAACAAGATCTGTTGATGAGCGTGACTGTCTGTTTTGCAATATATTTCTATTCAAGTCTTTCAAGTTGAAGATAAATTATAAATAAATATGTTGTTCATAGAATCACAAATACCAAAAATCATAATTCCATCTTCGAGGGAGACCATTCGTTCTCGTATTTAATTTTCTTGACTATAAATCATTTATCAGTCTGTTTTTTGTATGAAGAAATAGCAATATAATAAATGATTTAATGGCATTCAAATAATATTTTAATTTACACATAACCACAGGTGAACGCAATAAATCAGTGGAATTGAATGTCCGTGATATGTTTATTCCTGAATGTGATGATATATTATGTTAGTATAGAGAAATATCATTTTAAGGTAACGAACATCGTTGATAAATCAGCAGTAAATGAAAATACAAACTCACCAGAGAGTTGATATACAAGCATCGAATAAGGTGGAAATAACGACGTGTCAGTAAAACACGCCAAAGCCTAACTTCAAAAATTTCAGTATTTTACCAAAAAAATCACAGCCGCTACCGTTGTTCACCGAATGGAATCGGAGAAAAACTCTTCCGGATTCGGACTGACAATAATTATGACTCCAACTTTAGACTTGGGCAGCCTATCAGATAAAACGATAATATCCGATTCCAACTCCAACGCTCTATCAACAATCTAGAAATCTTTACCGAAAGTTTTTTCCTCCTTATACCTAATTCGAAAAAAAAAACTTTCATTTTCAGCTTCATATTTTTTTTCACTGCATGTCATTGATGTATGTTTACACTCCTTGTTTGATTTTAACAAAGCATGGTTCTTCAATGGCCCGCACCTGTAACGATCAAAAATACCTATCACACCTGATTGAAGCAACGTCCGGTATTTGCACGGACTTAGAGACGCGACCATTGGAATTCGAATCTTGTCTCTTGAGCAATAAATCAACATTTTAAGCGATGACTTTTACTACGTCGATTAGGAAAGTTTAATGAAGTGCTCAACGGTCAATCGAGAATTTCTCTCTTGACTAAAATTGTCTTATTTCAGATCCGTACCATGAAACATTAGATTGGTTAGTCCAACATTGAGCCCGTTGGTCTATATTCGCGGGTGGGAATGTTGTTGATATGGGACCTGCGTTGGTGCGGTGGCTTTAACGTTGGTAAACTCTATTATCTCACTAACCGACTATAGATAAGGCTTGAGCTGTACTGGAATACTATTTATGTAGGAATTTAAATTCGATATGTATGTAAATTCGATGTTCAAATAAGCAGAAAAACCTGACCATTCCAACACTACTTACCAGTTACCACTCACCTCGCATTAGGGCTTATTTTCTACAGCTCTTCAATACAGTTGTTACAGCACTATGTAATTCTTATTATTTAATTTCCTCGCGCGACTGGACTGTTACAAAATCAGGTTCACCAATATCAAGTTTAACATGCTGGTGTCAATTTTATATATAAACATGCTTATGCAAAACCTACTTTTCATGTTATAAAAACTAACAATATGAGAGATAACTAGACACACAAACAGTACAACTGCAACGAACACGGTATTTTACCAATCCTACACGTATTGTTAAAACAGCGTCCCATGATTGGTATTTCTATATTCATAGTACAAGGCTATTCCTTGTCCATACTCACAAACGTGTCACAAAAATAGAACACTAATAGGTGTAACTCCACTCTTCCTGGACAAAATGGCACCATCGCATAAACACATTTTCTTTTCTGCACATTCTTCGAAACTAATCCTTACATACCTTCGCCATCCGAATCCACATAAACAATACTTCTCATAGCTCGTCTTCTATTGTTATGAACTGTTTACATGAAACTACCAACAAAACAGTAAAATAACTCATAATTTTAGCGTAATCCAAAACTAAATTAATGCTTTTTCACAATGGTTTTTCATCCAAGTTTGTAGCTTTTAACGGCATTGTCTAGACTTCAAGAATCTATTAGGGATCTCGCCTTTGCAGCGTACATATTGTAAATCCGCAAGGTTAATTATTTAAATTTTAAGTAAGTTGACTTGAATTTTTAACAGTGTTTACTTTTGGCTAATTTTATTGATATAGATGGAATTTATGTCCGTGTCCCGAAGTAAGCCTTACAAGTCTGGTGATTTGTGGGTTTGCGAGGTTGTACTTACTTAAGAAGACATTGTTTGATTAAAAAGTAGGGAAGTGGGATGGGCATCGTGTAAAAAAATACACAAGGTTGTTGAATATTGTGTATATTAATTGTCAATGTTCAAGAATATTGGATGAGATGTAGGCTAGTAAGCGCAAAATATTCAATTCGAATATTTTGAATAACTTGAAAATTGATAAATATATAACTCAAATTGGATCAGACTTCTATTTTATTAAAAGATGAAGTTTTTACCACAAACACAACATTTGATTGATAGTATACGTCATGTGTAAAATCTCCAAAATTCAAACTCACTCTGACAGCCCAATGCTCTCTAATTTCTAACTCCTTGGACTACTCTAATCTCCTAAATCGCAAATATATTCGTCATCCAAAATCACCCAAAACCTCAAACGACATATCAAAGGTATGATTCATATTTAAATCCCCTGAAAGCGTATTTAAACAGCTCAATGTAATCCCCATATTGTAATGTCTAGAATAGATCGAGCCTAGCCTAGTATATGGCTACTCATCTTGACGTGTTCCTTGCTTAGTAAGATAGTCCGCGAAGGCCAATTTCATATTGACAAAGAAAGAACGCTGATTTACCACAAATGTCACTAGGTGGAGTTTAATTCTTTAGTTTTCGTCCAGGATGGATGGATATACAACTGCGGAAATAGCTCTGTTTTTAACCTAATGTTATTCCTAGGTGAAATAAAGCTTCTAGCCGGCGACTGCAGGACCAGGCATTTGAACAATTATTCTTGTTAACAGAGAAACTAATGACCTGTGACAGCGAGTGACCCCATTGCGATAATTAGCGATTACTCTTCGATGTTCATCATATTTGCGAATTAGCTGAACCTCGCGAGCCGTCGCATTCTATCCAAATATTTTAACTGTCTTGCAATTCTCATGCATGACTATTACTGATTAGGATGATGTGTAGCCTCCCTGACTATACTACATTCTCGTGGCTTTGTGTTGGTCGTCCATTCGCATTAATTTCGAGTGACTGAAGCGACAAGAATAAATATTAGGTTAAAAAGTTTTGCAATATTGCAAGAGACATTGAACCACTACGCTCTGTGCAGATCCCTTTTCAATTTTAAAATAAAAGCAATATTTAATTAGCTCGACTGACAACTGCACACGCAGATCGCGCTTCAAACATCCAAACTGATACAGCAAAATTGAAAATAAAAAACGCTCGCCATGGGGAGCAGCCGATATAGCATGAGACTCAGCATAAAGTCAATGGTAAGTCAGATAATGAGATACCAAATTGACATGATCCTGTAGTAGTTCCATACATAGCCACAGCCAAATTATATACTACATACTTGAGCCTCGAATGGCCAGTTTTATGAATTGTAAGTGTTAGCATTTACAACTGTGATGTCACAGAAGAAACATTTGCTCGCAGGCGACATAAGTGCTAGACTAGATAACGTTTGCAGCATAATGTTGTTGGCAGATTTGGAAGTACTGATAAAGTGATAAGAGATACATTTTAAATAATCTCTCACAAACACATAGATTAGGTTTTAAATAAATTAGAGACATTCCCAGATTCGACTGGGTCAGATGGGCATACCCTCCAATCCAATTTACCCACAAGCTTCGAATTAGCTATTCGCGCGTGACGCTCTCGCTCAAACTGTCTTAAGACTCTTTTCCATAGTATCATTTGAGTTCAGGTGCATAATTTTACAACTATATATTCAATTTTCAAAGATCATTGTAAACTTCGTCAACGAGTAAAAATGCGTTCCTCATTATCTGTTATTATCTTTATTTGTTTATGTTTTTGAGACGTAGCCTACCTGGAGTAATAA